TTCAAGTACGAATGCGGGTTGCATTTCCAAAAAGGGTGTGCCAAATGGTGGGTTCGTTTGTAGGGCCAACAAAATTCTAGTTTGGCTTTACAAATGTTTTAACATCATTTTATTTGCAGAAAGCAAAAACTGCTCCACGCACTTCAGCAAGGTTCCTGTGTGTTTGGCAGTAAATGTGTGTGTGTGTGTGGGTGAGCGGAAATGGGGGCGGTTGGGCGTGGCTGGCATTAACACTTGTAGTGTCAGTGTCGCATGTCGCTGCCCGCGAAGCTGTTAAACTAAATAAACGCTGTCTGGGTCCTTGCCTCAGTTCACTCACGAGTGTGTGTGTGTGTGTGTGTTACGTACTTCCGGTTCGTTGCATCCACCAACACTCGGGCATACCTGCTTTGCATGCATTCTATTTCTGATACAACCATGTATATATGAGTGCAGTGGCAAATTGTGGCAAGATGCAGTAAGCACACAATTAGAAGTTGCTCAGTTCACATTTTTATATCCCTCCATGGTATTTTACATTTCTTGCATTCTGCCAAGAACCGAAAGATGCAACCAAGACTAATCTATAAGTTTGCTTTGAAAAATAAGCTTAAATTGGAGCTCTCATTGAAACAAAACAGTTTTACTTTTAATTTCAAATTAACTTGTGCTTAAAGCAAACCTTATTTATGATTTAATTGACCTCAATTCCAAGTTGGGCATTAATTCTTGTTAAATTGAAAGGTAAGCAAAACCATCAATACACATATGGTATTCATTTGGTAAGTACATTATTTACAATATTACTATTGTTTAACGACAAATACAGATTTATAGTTTTAAATATATGGATACAGATTTAAACATTAGATGCCCACTTTAAAGTAAACTCAGCTCTGTAAAGCACAAATCAATCTGAAATTGATGGGTTTCGACTCGGCAGGAGTGGGGATATTCGAGCCTTGCTTAGCATACTTATTGGTGCATTTTGCGGTGATGCATTTGCGTCAGTGGCACTCACTTCGTAGCGTACACAGTAATATGCACACACACCCACCAGCAGCCATTTGCATCTGCGTGGATGTATTAAACATGAGGCAAATGAAAAGCGGAAGTGCCAACCAGGCGGCGAGCGATTTTCGCGGTCTCTTTGGGCGATGCCAGAAGTCAGTGCGGAAAATGAAGGAAAACTCAGCCCACCGCACGGCACCGCCATTTGTGGTTGCATTTTGTCCCCCTTCCGCATTTATTACGCATGCAAAGAATGCACCAAGGAGCGTGTTTCCGCCGCCGAGGGAAAACGGGGACTATTGCGGGCGGGATCTCCGGCGACTGTTTGAAATTCATGACTTGTTTAGTGCACATGCCGCATAATGTTGCATACATTTTGGGCGGTCGGCGACGATGCCGCGGGTATATTGCAGCTGCCACTATTTGCTATTTTTACCCCTGTTATTACCGCTTCTGGTGGTGGTGTTGTTGGTATTGTTTCCAAACAAGAAGTACCAAACATACCAATTATATATGAAAGCTGCAGGGCATAACTATAAAGTGATTTTAATGTTTACTTACTTTAATTAACTATTTGGTATATTTTTGTTTCTTTGGAAATTCTTTAAAATTATTGTATTTTATCAAAAGCATTAATAAACATATTTTTATATAAACTTTTTAAGGAGTTTGAAAAAAAAGGAACAAAATTTACATGAATACAAAAATAATATGTTTTTTTTGTATTATAAAAATTAAATAATATTAAATGCAAGAGCATATGCAACTTATTTGTTGACCTTATTTTAAACTAAATTAATTAAGCAATGAATTTTGTTATGTTTATTATTTTTTAAGTTTGAGAAAATAGGATATGTTTTAATAGTGTCTCGCACTATTAGCAGTTGGGTACATTGAAGCCAACATAAGTACCACTGTATTTGGGTAATATTTATGCATTCGCACATAAATGCCAGGCATGTGTGTGTGTGTAAGATGTGCATTCATGGCTTCGACTTGTTTTGCATGCTAATTGCCTTTGACGTTGAGTGAAAGAGATAGAATTGCAAACAGAAACAAAAAGGAAGCACATTTGCCTGCTGCCGTCGTAAATTGGTTGCCTACACTTGATTATGTGCGAAAATAGTTCACAGTGCTCCTTGATAAATCTATTTAGGTTTTTAATTTTTCAATGAGCTACCAAAATTGATTTCAAAACCAAATTCAATTCTCCATCTCTATTATATTTATATTAAAACTATTTCTTTGATTTCTGTTTGTTTGCAAATAAATTTAAAATATTAAACGACCAAAGCCAGTGTCAACATTGCTTGTAAAATGATTTTTCTGGTGCGCACGAAAGTATGCAGTTGTGTAAAAATGCAACTTTGATCTGGGAAACGAAATATTTACTTCGGTGTTGAAGCAGTTGAGAGCATCTGGTTGAATAATTTACTGCAGGCAGTGTGCGTTTTGCCATCGTGTGACTCAAACTACCAGGACCCACCACTTCCCAATCCCATCCTGGGCTAATGGCGCTCTGCATATTTCATCATATTAAGTGCCAAAACATCGCATAATCAACTGCCTTGAACCCCGTGCCCTATTGTAGGTCTATTTGAGTATGGGTAAGAAGCACTCTCAGTGGAACTGAATTAAGCCCCCCTTACATGTATTGTATTGTCAAATATACTACCGCAAAATGTTGCAAGCTGAAATTTTGCCCAATTATCAATGTAACTGGGCTGGTTCAGTTCCCATTGCTTTTCCATCGATTTTCCCGCTTTTCCTCACCTCATTTGCCACCCATCGAGTGCACTAATTATACAGCTAAACAATTTCGTATTTCGGGGGCTTTTGTTTATGCGACTAAGCGAACTTTGCATCTGCTCTGCATGGAGAACTGAATTCCTTTAATTGGATGCGTAAACATTTGATATACTGTCTAAGTCAAACAGCAGAGGTTTTAGCGGTGATAAGTGGGTTTTCTAAAAATTAAGTTATTTATTATTAAAATCTTTTTATTTGTTTCAACATTATTTTATTTAACTAAATATTTAACACATTATAGTTAAGTTTCCAAGCTATCGCATAAAATCCTGAAAACAGAGGGTCGCCACCGAAGTCTTTTTTGTTCCTTACATTTTTTTAAATATGTGTTCTGTACAAGCTGCTGAATAATATCAGCAGATTAATCCACAAAATGTTTAAGTAATTAATGATTTTAGTCATCAATTCGCAATCACCAACTCGTTCTATGACTTCATTGCAAAAATGATCAAAATGCTTAGTTACTGTTTTATATAAAAAAATAAAAACAGTATATTTCATTAGAAAACAAAGATAAACAATTTTTGAAAAATGCTTGCTAATTAAAGTGCTGTCAGTTGTGATGAACAATTTCCGTTTGATTTTTAAATTTTTCAAAACCAAAGCAATTAATCATAAAGTACAAGTAATCATAAGTCTACCATAGGTGCAACGAGCGGGGGATGGTAAGCCCTCGAGATTAGCACATGCCATAAATTCATTCAAGTCCGTATAATCCATGCCTCACAAACACACCCGGTCATAACCATAAAGGCATTCATACATTAGCTCAGACAGTGCTCACGATTTGAACCAGCTTTTCTCGAAAATACTGGCTTGCCCTGTGAAATTTGCATGGGATGCAGCTATGAATTTATTTATGACTTTCATTCGGCGGTTGCTTGTGGGCACCTCACCATTGTCTTTCTCAGTTTTGTAATCCTTTTGGAATTTTATTTACACACATTTAAACATTTGCTTAGCCATAACCAAAAATAGCTGATTTAAAAATATAATCTTTTCCCGGCTCGGCAATGTGCAACACTTTTATAGTGAGACCATTAATTTGAACACAGGCAAATCAAATTTTATTATAAACAAAATAATGTGATGCATTGCAATTTAAAGGGATTAGTGAATGCATTATTAAACTCAAAAACAGATACCTTCGAGAAATTTAGTTACGCTGTATCTATACACAATTGTTAATATAATGTCTAAAGACCATTGCCTTGAAGAGGCACGGTCTTATTAACTTTTATAACCATGATATTGGACTTATTAGTTTGCACTCGTCGGAATTTTTTTTAATTTATTCTCTCTCAACCATGGCAACAGATCTCTAAAATTTTATGGATTTTCGCAATCTTTGTGTGCAGATTTGTGTTCTTCCCCCAGAAGCCATAATTTTTTGTGGATACTGGCTGCTTTTTGTGTGGTCCAAACTTTTTATTTCTTTTTCGCTCATTTCTCAAACGAATGCGTTTTGTTTATAAAACAAAAATAAGTTGCATATATGAGTACATTACCATTTGTTTAAATTGTCTGATTGAGTAATTTATATTTTTGGATAGAATTGTTGCAAAAACAGAATAAATAATAGGTACAAAATTCGCACATTCAATTGCTCGAAATATTTTGAGAGCAGTGTGGAGTGGTAATTTCAGCTATTTTTTAAATGCAAAACAAAAACGTTTTTCTTCATAAAAAATAATAATATTTTAAGTAACCAAAAAAAAAAAATGTAATTGCTTCTTACATGATGTTGATTAATGTATTTTAGTTTTAAAACATTAATTTTGTAAAAATAAATAAACATGTTTGATGCGCCGATTTGGAAAAGTGTAGTTGCTTGTCCACTGCATATTTAATTTTTTTCTGATGGTGCTTACAAATATGTCAACAGTGTATGCATTTGGAAAACATTTGAAGCGACTCTCTTTGGTCATTATCTGGCCGGTCTCTTGATTTTTAAGAGCGAACCGTAGAGTCAAGTGACCGGTTAGGGAGCATTATCTAAAGTTTTACGCTTTTTGCTTTGGCTGCCTTTTCTTTTCTTTTCGTTTATTTTCTGTTCACACTGATAAAATGAAAGAAAGAAAACGCAGGGCTGTTTACGCAGCGTGCGATTGATTGAAATCCGACGTCGGCGTCGACGTTGCCGACGCTATAGTGCTATAATGATCATCGGAGGGAGGGTTCTCCGGTTCGAGTTCGGGATCGTTGGGATCAGTCTTTGGGACGCGCGTTTGCAGTAAAGATCGCGGCAAGGAATTATACGAAAACGTTTGGCGTGTCTCTGTTTGTGGTAAAGTTTCTTTTAATCTATTGAACAGTGATATAAATATTTTTCATTCAACTAAAAGTGTGCTATGAACTGGAAAATACAATATTAAACTGCCTATTAAGTACAGACTAAAGCAAATTGATAAAGCGCATTAAATAAAATTCATAGCATTGAAAAAAAGGTTAAAAACAAAAACATGATAGTAAAAGTCCCATAACTGTTTCATTTATGCAAGCTCAGCGAAATTAATCTATTAATATTCCCCATGTTAAGCCGTTTTAAATCAACAAAACCCCCAAACGAGCTGGCCATTTATTATGCAGTTTATTAAATTTAAATCTCTTTGTTGTGTTTGCTTATTGGTGTAAAAATCAGCCTGCTGAATGGAAATCGGACCTATATAGATAAAGAGCAGGGAGGAAGTCTTTGTGTGGTTGTGACCAAACAGCTGACTTTTTATTTTTGACTCATTTTGTGTTATTTTGACTTCAGCTCTCTTAAAGGCATTCATTTGGCTCTCTTTACAACTTTTTATGTGGGGGAGAGTGTCATAGCATACGAATATAAAGAATTCAGAATGTTATGCTCCGAGAACCCGCAGACTTTGGTCTTTATAGTTGTCTTTGTTGATTTAATAGTTTAATGTTTTTTTGATGCATCTCCTGCAACAACTGTTTAATGCAAAAACAATAATATATTGTGTTTCGATATATATGTCCATATTTTATCATTTACAATTTTTCTATTATAATTATATTAGTATATATTATAATATAAATCTGTTTTTTCTTTATAATGCAATCCTTTCTAAATTTTATTTCCTGTAATCTTGTTATTCCCAACTGTTTTTTTGGACTGATTCTTTCCTGAACTTCAAAATCAATCAGATTGTTCATTAATTTTCAGCTAATTTATCTTCCCGCCACATCCTACGTCGATGTTTGAAAAATGTTTACTGCTAATATACATTATTTATTATCTTTTAACGTCTTTTTCAGTGCAATGCATATCAAAGTATTTTTTGTGTAAATATTTATGGATATGATTAAGAAATTCAAAGGAAATTACGTAATTTTTAACTTAGCATTTGATCCATTAATAGGGGTAATTAAAACATTTATGTAGGGTCTGACGAAACGCTTAAGAGAACCATAAAGATTATGTGTATATATAAGTAGATTGCACATTTCGAAGTCATTCATAAGTCTGATTAATTGCTTAACAATTTGTTTCTTATCGGTCAGAAATATTAATCCCATTTCAAGTAGGTTATACTAACTGGAAGTACTTTGTTATATAACATTCCTCAGCCAAGTCGATAAATTATTAGATTAGACTGGTACTTTTTTAATTTTATTGCAGTGACTTTTGAGATTTGTTAACTGAAACTACTGAATTGAACTACAGAAACATATGAACAATGCTTGCCCGTTTTTCCACAATTCAAAAGGCAATCATTTATTAATAATACATTTATTGGAAAATGTTATTAGAAATCTCATAAAATTGTGGAAATTACCGATAAGCTGGTGTTGTGGTCGCCGTGTAGGAATTGATTTTAATTTTTTCATCAAAGAGATTACTTTCAAAGCTATTGATATGAGCATCAAAGGCAGAGTCCTGCAGAAAGGAAAAACATATTTGGAATAAAAAAAATTAACGGAATGAAAAATTCTTAAACAAAGAAATGTGATGGTAAATAGTATTTTACTTACTGCTCCCAAGTTGGTACTGCGAAATTCGGCCTCGGCTTTTAAAAAGGCGGCCACACCCTCATTAACTTCGGATTTGTTTTTGTTACAAAAGTGTTGGTCAATGTCTTCGGGGATTATTGGCCGTGGACGCCATAACTTCCCATCTCTGGACTGATGTTTCAATTCGCTTTCTCGCTCCTCAACCTGAGCCCTTACTTTCCGGATCTCCTTACGTTCGTAGTCGATTCGCAACTTAATGGCTTCTATCATTGTAATGGGATCCACGGGAAGCGGTTTGGACGGAATCGGTCCTGCAAAAGCGATCTCCCTAGCGTACTGGTTGAAATTCTCGCGTCCATTCAGACTATCTTGTATAATGCCCGGACAGAAGCGATCCTTTACCAAGGTCTCATGGAACTCATCCTGAATACGCTCGGCTAGGCGGTCCTCAGCTTTTTTGGGAAGCTCACCTCTTACTGTTTATATTTAATCAAATAGAATAACAACTTACGTGTTCTAATTGGCCCTCGCATAGATCGGCCTCCCAAGGAACAATTCCGATTGGTTTTATCCAATGAAGTTTGCTGCCAAAAATAGATATTTGTTTAAACGAAGGATTCGCAACTTATAAACTTACATTCAAGCACGATCTCTCTGACATCGTTCGAGACATGTCCATAGACGTATGATTCCTTGAAGCAGCAGTATTTTCTCGACATACTTCCATACTTCTTTCACAGGGCGTTGATCTTTGATTACAGCAGCCAGATGTTTTGCTTTGGCCCATAGACTCTTGACAACGTGGTGCCCAATTTATAGAGCCATCATGGTAAGCTTCCTGAGACTAGTCAAAAAGAGGATTAAGTGATTTCAAACCAACCTTTATGTTTATAGAAAATGTTTACAAAACAAAATTGGGTATAAAATAAATACCCAATAAAATTACAAACGTTAATTATTACAAAAAACAACTTTTTTTGGGAGACCTTTCACTTACTTTTTGACATTGATTTTGACTAAGATTCTGATTCGGTTGTCGGCAATATCTAGCATTTCTTAGAGTCTCAGGCGGCAGCATATAACTTGTATTATTAATTTCGGTTTCGTACTGTTCATTTTATTTTATTATTGAGGAAAAAGATTTTTAATAAATTAAATAAAATTTTGCACAATTCTTACTAACCTGCATTTGTCGCCCCTGAATTGGCGGTGATTCACACTGTTGTAAAATATTATTAAGGCTGCAATTTAACTATTAGGTGGTTAAATATGACAGCTTACCTGCGTTTGTCTTCGTAGCGTTTCCGGAGTTTGATCGCACGTTGATCGTGACAACTTTTTCGAAATAATAATAAATATATATATTAAATTATATAACATAACATAACTTACTATTTGGGGCTTGCAGCTTGAGCTGGAAACCTGACAATTAGAAATCCGTTGATGCCGCGGAGCTTGCATTTGGCAATTTGCTACCGATCGCTGGTGACAGTCACTTTGATTTATCATTGTGCTATTGAGATCTGGTTCCTTTTTGATTGTTGGAAAATTCTTAAGAAATCTTAGGGTTATCGTATGAAAGCCACTTACAAATACAATAGCTTCGTCACTTTCCAAAAAAGATTTATTGGACTGGTTATGCTGCTGTGCCAGCTGCTGCTGAATTTTTTGCAACAGCTTTTGACGTCTTTGAAACTCGCCATAGTTCATGCCAACTTCAGAGGTATCTTCATAATCGCAAGAATTGTTATTTCTTGAACTGAAATCCATAACATATCTCTCTGGATAAGGACTTCCGCCTGTTACATTCAAGTCACAATTTGTGGTATCAGATTTATTCGATTTATTAATTGCACTTTGTCTAGGTGCGCTTTGGGATCGAGAAATATTACGTTGGAACTGCTGGAATGGCGCGATTTGAGATTGAAATTGATATAATGAATCAAGTGGGTTTATCTGCTGTGGCAATGTCTGATCGTTGGCACTCATTGCAGGTAGGGTATTATTGGGGCATTCCGGCAAATTGCAACATTGCTTAAATTTTGAGATGTACAAATTAAGTGATCAGCACTTAACAATCATACTTACATAATCGTCGACTTTGTTACAAGAAGGCACAATCTGTGAATTGATTTTGTAATTTATAAAGTATTCCTATTCTTATATAGGTATATATATTTACCACTTTCTCTGTCACTAATGACCCATTCTGTCTGCTGCCATTAAGTGTGGGTCGATATTGAGGCATGGAGAACCTATTGACTGTGGGGCAAGGATCGTAGCTATCTTCGTCGCTACTGGGACAAGTCTCCGGTAAGGCGGCTCTGCAAGGATCTACGGTTGTAGCTGCTGCGTTCAGGTTCTGCTGATATCCCAAACAGCGACTGAAGGCACAAAATAGCTCATCGGGCAGCAGAACAGAATTTCTAATGATATCCATTCATAGAACGGAAAAACATTTATCTCAAGCACTTCTTAGATATATCAACCATTCTTGTTTTAAACATCGTCAGAAGAATCTCCAAGCGATTTATACTTACATACAGAATTCAGATTTTATGATGTCTGGTACCGTGGATGACAAAATTAATTTTACTTTTTAGAATGAATTTCGGTGTGTGTCAGTATAAAATAAAAAATAATATAATTATTTTGGAGTTGGTTCTGAACTTGTCCAAAATCCTAGTTGCATGAACTTTTAAAACAGAAATTTACATGGTATTAAAAGTAGAGTTTTTCGAAGATTTTTGACCATTTTGTATTAGAATGTATGCTGCATACACATAAAGACTCCAAAATCGAAGCCTGCTTATTGTTTTTATTTTCAATATTTGTGAGTTATTTTTTTTAAAATAAACTATTGGATAGCCATAATTGCACTTATTAGAAATTTAATTTAAAATATTTTGAACAAACTGAATACAAATCTATAGAGATGGTTTTGACTTTATTTCGAATATATTTATTTCATTAATTTTCTTATCAAACTTTTTAGTTTCTTAGCCAAAATAAAACAATATTGCTATGCTAAATGTAAACTTCTATTTCCCAACCCCAGTAGACGACATTCACTTAATTTGCTATTATACGCCCATTATAGTCAGCAATCGAATCGGATGCCCCATCCATTATCCTGCGAACTAATCCCTCATCGCTGTCATCTCTCCGGTGTTCGCTTCCGTTTGTTCATTAGGCAAATGCAGCAATTTCAGCTCGACAAACGCCAAGTCGTTTGTCTCAGCCGAATCCGCATCCGTATCCGCATCCGCATTTGTATTCGTATTTGTCAGTGGGGCCACATCAGCACATCCGACGGCCCACTTCAATTGGGCGTCTAGCTGTGCGAGGAATGTGGGCGTGGCATGTGCGTTACGCGTGAAATCCAATTCCCTCAAACTGGCCGCCTGGGCGGCAAGGAATCGGAGGAGGGAGCGTACCGCCTGCGGTCGCTGCGGCATCCACTTGACGCTCCCATCCGCCACATCAAAGTGCACCGTCAGCTGCGAGTGCCAGGCAAAGTATTGCAACCGGAATACATCCTCGGTGCCTCCGACGACTGGCATCCTGTCATCCAGTCGACACTGCAGCCGGAGTCCCACAATGCGATAGTTGCGTTGTCCCCGAATTTGCTGCAGGCACGCAGACAAGGTTCCTGTGGCACTGCCATTTGCTTTGCCATCATCCAGGTGACCGTGCCCCGAATTTTGGCATAGAAAAGCCGTCAATTGGCGGAGTCGAGGCAATTGGAAGATCTCAGAGGCACTGGCGTTTACCATGCAGGCTGGTAGTTTCAATGTTTCCAGATTACTGGGATACTGGTACTTCAATTGTTTGCACTTCCAGTTGCAGCGCAGCTCAAATGTCCTCAGGTTTTGTAGGTTTTTGAACAGCAAGTCCAGATCGAAGGGTGTTAAGTCCTCGACTTTTCCCAGGTTCAGGCTCACCAAGTTGGGGCTCAGGTAGGGCAGGTTTTGTATCACAAAACTATTGCTTTTGGTGAACGTTAGTCTTTCTAAGTGATTGAGACCTGGCCGCTTGCGTTTAAGCCACTTCCGGCAACCTTCGCCGGTGCCTGGCAGATTAATCAATGCTCTGGTTCGCGGGCCCAAATGATCCAATAACTGAGCCTGCTCATCGGGTTGCAGTAGCTTTAATTGCTGCTCCCGGCGAAAATCAAACTGCTTAGCATATCGGCTGCTCCACAGTCGGTGTACCAGATTGCATAGTCGCTCCTGCTGCAGTTCCATTAATCTCAGTTGGTCCCCCAGCGCAAGATGCTCGCAAATCATCAGCAGACAGTCATCGTTCAGTTCCATTAGCCCCAAAACACGGGGTGGCTCTGTACGGCCAATGGCTATGGCCGTCCTGAATCGCATCCCAATCGATCTGCTGCCGCCGAGCAAGTTCGACCGACTGAACAGGAAGCGCGTGGCATGTGCCCGCCCGATTTCTGAGCTATATATGTCTGAGCTATACTGTCTGAACCCCCGTTGCGGCTGAATCAGTGTCGCCTTCGGCGGTTGCATGCAATCGCAGCTGGCAGTGCGTGTGCAACGCATATGTCCCCGATTGTACAGATCTCGTGGCACAGTGGGTCGGGAGTAGCGAAAAGTGCTCAAAAATTGAAAAAATAAAATTTTAGTAAATACCAATTTGTATGTATCTTAGTATATAGTTTTTAAACTATATCTTATATATCATCAACCATTAAAGACTATTTTTCTTATATTTATCCCCAATGCTTTTATTTAAATAAAGAAAAAATATATTAAATGTATATAAATTTTATTTAACAACATATTTTATTATTTTTTAGAAAAGATTTTTTTTTAATATTAACAAATTGTTTCAGTTGTTTAATCTTCTTAAGTTAATAAAAATCTATAATAATAATGAATGAAATATTTATCGAAAAATATTAGTTTTTGCATTTATATACACTTATACACTGAAGAAAAAATAAATGTATTAAAAAAATTGAAAACATTTACTAGACATTTTTTGTTTTCTGTTTTTTTTTTCATTCTAATATTCAAATTTATTATAAATAAATAAGAGAAGTAGTCAAACAACCTGAGACCATTGGCCAACTGTACGCACCACCCCCTTTGCCAAGTACTGGTGGTGGTCGATAAGTGCAACCCCTGACAAACTGTCCGCTGCTAAAGAGAGTTCCCAACGTGGTTCAGGGTGCGGGCGTTCTTGTTTTCCACACTCTCTCCGAGATTGTGCATTATCGCTGGATGAGCGGGTGGGATGGCAAAGAACATGAGATATACTTATATGTGAAGACTTCGGCAGCGGGAAAGAGAGTTGGGCTATTTTTATAAATCCCTCCACCCCCCTCATAACTCGAACATATGGCCAAGGCCAAGGCAGCGATATGGTATAAAAGTTGGTGGGAGGTGGGGAGGCCAAGTTTCAAGTGGCTCAGAATAATAGAAACCTGGATGGAAACAAATCACGATTGTTATTTAATTCGATAATACTTCTATCGTAAACCAAGAGCTGGCGTGACTGGCCACCGATAGAGCGATCTTGTTATCTTTGCACCTATAATAATATATTATTATAGTTTGAGTGACTTATAAACTTGAACGTCAGGATTATTGCATATACATTTTTTGTATAGCTTTTTGAGAATTTGCACCGAGAATTATTATAGTCTTTTCCTTGACTCATGAGTCAGTTTTAAAAATATCCTGGTTTTTCATTGGCTCTGGAACTCAAAAATAATGTTTGGCAATTTGGGAGTCTAAAATTTAAACGAATAAATTGATTTGGACTACAAAATTCTTGGGTAATGTTAAGCGCTATTTACTAAACCGAACCATGGAAAACTTGCGGTCGCAGGATGTGCAAACGACGAGGACATCTCCTCCGCCTGCGATGAGGGTCATCCACTTGGACCTCAACGAGGAGGAGAGTCGCCGGGAAATGGCGGCCAGTAAATACGGTGGCATTTGCTTCCACGTGGGCATAGCGGCCATGCTCTGTTTGCTGGTGGTTGTGCTGCTTTGTTCGGCGCCCATTGGTGAAAGTGATTCTTTTCGTTCGTCCGAGGAGCGGTACGCACGGCAACGGCAGGCTTACTTAAATAAGGAGCGACGTCAGCGTATGGGCGGCGAAATAGTCTTGAGTCCGTTGGAGGAGGAAGCCAATAGTCGGCTGATGGCCATCAAGCAAGTGGATGAAGAAATGCATCATTTGTGGCGGAACTACCACTCCCAAGCGCCACCATTTCTCAGCCATCTCAACATCAGCGATACGAATCTCTATGCGGTGCTAAAGAGCATGCCCAAAGGTGGACTCCTCCATGTCCACGATTCGGGAATGCTGCGCACGGACATCCTCATCGATCTGACATACCGCGATAATCTGTGGGTCTGTGTAAACTTGGATCAGGGTTTCGAAGACTTTCGCTTCTCCAGAAATTTTCCACACATTCCGCCTACGCAGGATTACCAATGCAATTGGATGCTGATGAGCAACTTCTTCGAGTTCGAGGCTCGTGACGCTTTCGAGGACAGAATACGGAAAAGTTTTACTGTCCGGCCGGAAGGTTACGACAGTGCCGCTGAGATGGCAAGGCATTTGAGACGGCAACAACGCCTCATCCACGGATTGATCGCATTTCGGCCAATTTGGAGCGATTTCATATTCAGCATGCTGCACGATTTTTACAACGATGGGGTGCAATATGTGGAGCTGCGTTCTTCCTTGCCAATCGTGAGTGAAGATACGGTTTTTAATTTATAATATTAATACTTTAGACTGAAGTGGCTGATTTTTCTTATTACCATTTCTAATTCTTCCTTTTCCTGATTTCTATTTACTATATTTAAGAGCTTAACTGTTGAGATTTCCAATTATAAATATCAAAACTCTAAAAAGGGGGCAAAAATTAAATAAAAATTTTGAATTCTGTAATTTGCTTAATGAATGTAGTGATTTTTGCTATTATCATTTTGTAGCTATGCGGTTAAATATTGTAATGGCACATACAATACATTCAAGAAAATCGACATCGAGTAGCTGCCAAAAGTTTTCTGAAAAAACTTAGATGTTTTTGTCTCAATTAAACTACATTTTTAAATCGCGGGCGATTTTCTATTTTCAAGGCAATTTTTTTATTGAGCGTATGAATAAATATTAAAAAATATTTTTTTATCCTAATAATATTTTGTACAACAAAATAATCTTGTGAAACAATCTATGACTCTCCGATACCTACACTGATTCTATATTTCCCTGTCAAATATCCGCGTTAACCCTGCCCTTTAACTAGATGTACGATCTGGATGGCAATAACTCCACTATTTTGGAGACGGCAGAGGCCATTGTTTCGGTTACGAATATTTTCAAGGACTCTTACAAAGATTTCTACGGAGTGAAGCTGATCTATGCTCCTTCCAGGGATTTTAATGACAGTCGCTTGGACGAATATTTAGCCAATGCGCGTCTGCTAAAGGTAGCTGGGAATAAAGTCAGTTATTTCCTTAACGAAACCTGACATTACCTTCTTTCCTGATAGTTGCATTATCCCAATTTCTTTGCTGGCTTTGATCTGAACACCTTCGGTGACGAGTGCAATTTACCGCTTTTGGGCCAGGACACTCAACTTCTGAAGATCAACAAGGATATTGACTTCTATTTCCATGCGGGAGAGTCGCAATGTCCGGACAGCTTAAGGCCGGATTCGAATCTTTTGGATGCTTTATTGCTGGGTAGCAAACGGATAGGAAACTCAGTGAATCTGCCCTTCCATCCGGAGATTATGAAGGGAATGCAAATCCTTAAAGTGGCCGTGGAGATCTGTCCGCTGTCCAATCATTATCTGCAGTACTTCAATGATTTCCGACAACATCCGGCGGCGTATTTGATTGCCGCCGGCTTTCCCGTTGTGATTGGCTCGGATTATCCGTACTTTTGGAATTCCGCCCCTCTGACCGACGACTTCTATGTGGCCTTCGTGGGCGTGGTCAGTGGGTGGGGCAATCTGCGCCTTCTCAAGCAGTTCGCCCTTAATTCGTTTCTGTATAGTTCCCTCAGCGAAACGGAGAGGAATGTGGCCGTAACCAAGTGGCGATGCAACTGGAACCGGTGGGTCAGCAACTTCGTGAACATTAGTAGGGATTCGGATGCCAATAAGTCATGATTGTCTAGAAGAGTTTATAAAATTTTAGTCTTTTTGGGTGTATTAAACAAATAAAAGGACATTTTCAGGGGTAAAGAGAGATATGCATGCTGTTAAGACAATGGTCAAACAAAACCTAACCAAAACAAAACGAGTTTCCAGTTTTAGTGGTTTGTAAATTACAATGGAATTAAATATAATAAACTTGTGTTTACCTCTGTAATTATTTAAATATATTTAGGCGGTCGTAGTCCTAAGTGTATAATTAAACTATTAAAACCAAAAGAGCCAAGCAATTTTTGGAAAATAAAATAAAACATTTTTTTTACTCTGCAGTAGCTTTTAACAGACTTTTGCTAGAGGCTTACAATATATTATTGTCAAAAGATTTAACTAAAACTCTTGGTAATTAGAATTCGTGATTGATTTAACCATTTCCACATTTTCTCTAAGAATCTTTCAACGCATTTCTAAATTTAACTTTTAGTTTTTATTTTAGAGTTTCTGTTTGTTTTTTGTTACCTTATTCAATTCTTAAACTGCACTAGAGACCGCTTTCCGGCTTATCGAGTGTTCCCATAAAATGGCCAACAACGCGGCACTCGAGTGTCGTGGATAAGGCCATGGCCAGGGTTAGGCAATCTAATCTCTGGCTACTCGTAAATCAAGATGCCAGATTGCCCGATTGGCGGCGATTAGCTGAATGGCGGGTTGCCACCCGCACGCGCAATTATCGCCTCGAGATCCGTTTGAACGCGTTTTAAATCAAAGATAATGTCGAACCCCATCAAATCGTTTCAGATAGGGCGCGACATCGAAACCAAAATCGGAGCTCCTCAATCGCCGCAGACGTCAGTCGCAGAGCGGACCTTCAAGCGATCGGACCCTAACGGAATCTACCGCTCATCATGCTGCCCGTCGTCATCCGCCGTAATCTAATCGCCGTGCTCGCAGTGGGCCTGTGCGTCTGTCTTTGTCCGGTGGAATCGCGAACTCGGCCAAAGAACCTGGTCGACAAAAAGCTGGTTACTTTGTACGGCAGTACGCCCCACGTGGAGGCCCTCCTGGGTCCCGGACGTCCCACCCCGGATACCTACAAGACCTTGAGGAGCGCCTTCTTCCGGTACGAGGAGTCCCGCTCCCTGGGCTATGATCTGGAGCTAACCGAGCGGGAGACCAAGGCCAATGAGACCATCATGAAGGCCAAGTTGAACGAGTACGGAGAGGGTCTGGTCACCCCCCATCTGTTCAAACCCGCTCAGCATATATTCGATGTGCTGGACGGCATCCGCAACACTGATCTCTTCAAGCTCCTGAAGAAAATGCCCAAGGGTGCCGTGCTCCATGCCCACGACACGGCTCTCTGCAGCACCCAAGCCATCATCAAGCTGACCTACTACGATAATCTGTGGTCCTGCCAGCAGGACAGTGATCTCGGTTCCACCGCCCTGAGGTTTGCGAAGACTAAGCCACAGGCCCTAGACGATTGCGACTGGAGTCTGCTCTCCGAGGTGCGATCCAAGTACGGAGCCCAAAAGGTCGATGAGTATCTGGCCGAAAGACTCACCCTGTATCCCACCAAAAAGTTCGAGGACAACAACGCCGCCTGGTCCACTTTCATGACCATATTCAGTCTCCTCGACGGTCTTGTAATGTACGCCCCAGTTTGGGCGGACTATTACTACAGTGCTCTGGAGGAGTTCTACGAGGATGGTGTGTTGTACTTGGAGTTCCGTTCCGTGGTTCCAACGGTAAGTGCCTCTTATATCGGATTGGAAGATTCAATTAGAGAAGGATGTTACAAACATGTTAAAAATTTATATTTGAATATTATCGGAATTGGTTTCAATATTTGAAAATGTAATTAAAATTTTAACCATATTTAACTTGAACTACTTTTAATTCAATAATTTTACACATTAATTTAAATACTTTAATATTAACTAAGCATGCATTTTATTTAATATTGTGATATAATTAAATTAAATATTAAACTGAAATTTTTATTTAATTTTACTATTCCATTTTTGTTTAATCTTATCTGCATTAAACAAATTTTAAAGACAGATAGTGTTAAAGTATTTTGGTAACACTGCTGAATAACTTTTAAGTTTCTTTCTAAAACGACACTTTACTTATAATCCTGTTTATTTCAGCTCTACGACTTGGATGGCACCCAGTTCACTCCCATGGATACAGTGCGTATATATGTGGAAACTTTGGAAAAGTTCAAGGAGGCTCATCCCGATTTTATTGGTTCCCGAATGATCTACGCACCCATCCGGAACACAAATTCTGAGGGAGTTACGGCATATATCGAAACGCTGAAAGAGATCAAGGTGAACTTAATGTGCATTAACCTAAGATAGTTAACTTAAAATATTTTATTTTCTTCTTGACAGGAGAAATACCCCGACTTTGTGGCTGGCTTTGATTTGGTGGGCCAGGAGGAGTTGGGTCGCCCTTTGAGGGACTATATCGATGAGCTACTGTCCATACCCGAGGAAATTGACTTTTATTTCCACGCTGGAGAGACGAACTGGTTCGGGTCGACTGTGGATGAGAATCTGATCGATGCCATTTTGCTGGGCACGAAGCGTATTGGTCATGGATTCGGACTGGTCAAACATCCGGTGGTTCTGGACATGCTGAAGAAACTGAACGTGGCCGTTGAGGTCAACCCGATTTCGAATCAGGTGCTCCAGCTGGTCACCGACTTCCGCAACCATCCGTGCTCGCACTTCTTTGCCGATGGCTATCCGGTGGTCATTTCCTCGGACGATCCGTCCTTCTGGAAGGCCACGCCCCTGACGCACGACTTCTACATTGCCTTTTTGGGAATTGCCTCGCAGCACTCGGATTTGCGACTGCTCAAGAAGCTGGCCCTGAACTCCATTCAGTACAGTTCGCTGACGGGAGATGCCCAGTTCGAGGCTCTGGAGAAGTGGCAGGTGAAGTGGGACCAGTTCATTGCCGACGTGAACGAGGAGGCCTCCAACCGGGGATCCCCCAGCCAGCATCTCGATTGACTAGCACGGGTGGTGGCAGCGCTTCTGGTCGCGTTCTCCCTGATGACCTCTGACCTGTGGCGCTAGTCGGACAAAAATACCCCTCCACCTGCTGCACCTTCTGCACCTCCACTACAATTCGATTTCCGGCTGCAGCGGGTCCAACATTGCATCCTCATCCGCATCCAGTCAGAGCCATGTCCATGCCCACATTCTCGATATCTAACCGATTGTTTTAAGCTACTTGTTATCGACTAGTCCTTAGTTAGACCTAGGCTAATACTTTTCTGTTAACCCATGAGATTCTGTGCCACGCCCCTAAAAAGGGTTAAAGGCTCAAAATCCGAAGAAAACGAAAGCAATAAAGAACCCGTTTTAGTCGTAGCCTAAATAAGAGTGCATGCAATTTATGTTCAAAGCTCAAAGCTCAAAGAAACCTGAACTTAATCGTAATGAGTTAGCCAGCCAAGCGGTTCCGAAACACTTAAGGATGCGTACGTAAGGTGAAAAATAATTATAAAAAAAACAAGAGATTAAAAGGCATTTACCAGAAGTGTTAGGGGAAAAAGCACTTTAAGAGATGGTCTGGCGAAAATGGTGGTTATATATATTTTATAATTTTAAACAGAAAAAGTATAACTATAACTGAAAACGACATAAAACCAGTTCTAATGTATTATCAAAAGAAATATATATATATTTTATATAATATTATATATTATTATTATCATAACTTGACTAAGAATCACTCTAAGAATATCCTTCGTAGCCCACATATACAAAAATATATCAAACTCGATTCCAACCCATAATCTTGAATTTGCAGTCACGTTGCCATCTCCATCGGAGGAGTGCACTCGAGTCTTCGCCCGCATAAATCTCTCATTGCCTTTGGCTGTTCGAGTACGCAGAAAATTGGATGCGAATTTTAATGAATATGCGCTATATGGTCGTTGGGGCCATGGCCATCCATAACCACCCATCACTCAGCCTCCTTTGAGCTGCGGATCGAGCCATCCGAGTGCTGCAAATGTTTCAATTTTACGTGCCACTGTTTAGTGCTGCGGCTGCCGGCACAGGATTCGATTTTGATTCGGCTAACGCCCGTAATGAGCTGGCGGAGTTTTATGGGCCGCTGGCGGATGCAGTTGGGTTGGTCCTACAAACATGTATGCCACCATAAAATTGATGGGCCTGTGTAATGCTGTGTGGATAAGGTACTTAGTGTTGCCCGCTCTTCCTAATCAACCAATTCTGTTTAGCTGGAAAAAAGCTAGATAAATGAAGACAAAAACAAAACGATTTATTAAAACATAAGTATTATATCACCTTTGCCTTTGCAGATTTTAATGATTAATATTTTAATTTTTCTAGTTCTCAATGGTGTAAGTAAATATTGTTCACCCACAATCTCTTTTAGGCCTACTAAAATGTAACTTATTATTTCAAATTTGTGATTCACTTAAAATTAAAGCTCAAAAAAGCTAGTTTTGTCGAAGAAATGGCTAAAGTGACAGCACTATTGCTGTATCTACCGCCGCCCGTGGCAGCCTCATCAATTTGATGTCGTGCACATTTAATGTGGTGTTGAGGGCGCGCGGATGCATAAAAAACCAAAGTCCGCGATCCAACGAGGCTCATAAATTACTAATAAAAGCCGCTTGTGTGTGTGTGCAGTTGACGGTGTGGCGGCTTTAGTGTGTTAAAGCGGAAATGCGTTGGCCGCCATTTTGTGCGTGCGATTTAGGGCTTGGGTGGATTTGCGATGGCGATGACGATGGCGAAGCGCTAACAAATGTGTAGCCTATTGACACATTCGGCGTGACACATTTTGCAGGGTAAATAAATTGTGTAAATTCCAACCAAATTCTCCGTGAAACCCTTGGCCACAAGGAATGGTGAGCCAGGGGAATGCGAGGAAATACAATGGCTAACACCATTCGCCGAGCCTCGACCAAATGCAAAGCAATTGGGCACTCCACGGCCTCGGTGATACGGTCTCTGAGGAAGCTCACTCCGACAGCCTTCAAAACACTGCGCCGGGCACTCGCCAAGTTGGAGCACTTGGGCACCATGGGTCAGAAGCTTAGGCTCAGCGATCGGGAGCAGGAGGCCAACAAGATCATAATGGCAGTCAAGAAGGAGGAGATCTCCAAGGGCATACTAGATCCCAGCCAGTTTACTCCAGGTCAGCACATCTTTAAGACCCTGACCGAGATACGGAAGTCGCCGATCTTCAATCTGATCAAGCGAATGCCCAAGGGTGGGGTACTCCATGCCCACGATACGGCGCTTTGCAGCACGGAGTATCTCATAGGTTTGACCTATCGCGAGAATCTTTGGATCTGCACGACGGAGGAGGGCTGCAAGGCCATTGCCTTTCGGTTCTCCAAGGAGAAACCCACCCGGAAGCCCATGGAGGAATGCAATTGGGAGCCAATGGCCGAATTTCGTGATCGGCGGGGCGAAGCGAATGTGAACCGATACTTCAGACGCCGTTTTAGCATGTATCCTTTTTCTAAATTCATTTCGAATAATCAGGCATGGGCACACTTCATGGGCATCTTCATTCTGCTGGACGGTTTGCTGTGCCACGCCCCCGTTTGGGCTGACTACTACTACAACGCCCTCAAGGAGTTCTCCGAGGACGGGGTGCAATATCTGGAGCTGCGATCGCTGCTTCCCCCACTCTACTGCATCGATGGCGACATGCTCACCATCCGGGATACGGTGGCCATTTATGAGTCCGAACTGAAACGCTTCAAGGCCGACCATCCAGATTTTATTGATTCCAAGCTGATCTATGCCCCGCTACGAGGTGTGGAGCCCAGTGTGGTCGAGCAATATGTGCAGACCGCTGTGGAACTTAATGTAAGACTGTTGATTTCGAATCACAGATGAACTTTCAAAACTCAAAAAATAACTATTTTAAAGTATCCATAACAATTGAAATATTATTTTAATGAATTTTTGGCCGCAGGTAGTGTTTTGAGCTACATCTGTACCACATTAATAACCTAGTATTTGATTAGTTTTAATGTTATAGTTTAAAAAAAACACTAAATGAAATATAACTGGTGCCTAGCCATTTTTGTAATAATTTGCATACAAATAGGTTAGAAACTGACCTTCTTTTAAAGAAAAAATCATTAAAACTTACTTTCAATTATTGTGCAAGAAAACTAAATCTAAAATTATTGTTCCCCCTTCTCTTGTACAGAAAGAATTTCCGAATTTTATGGTGGGCTTCGATCTGGTGGGCCAGGAGGAGCTGGGACGACCGCTGAAAGATTTTGTGGAGCCGCTGCTCAAGATGCCCGAACACATAAACTTTTATTTCCACGCCGGTGAGACCAACTGGTTTGGATCGCCCATAGACGAGAATCTGGTGGACGCCATTCTGTTGGGCAGCAAGCGAATTGGCCATGGATTCGCTCTCACCAAGCATCCGATGGTAATGCGAATGGCCAAACTCCTGGACATCGCCATCGAGGTGTGTCCCGTGTCCAACCAAGTGCTCCAACTGGGCGTGGACTATCGCAACCATCCGGCGGCGCTCCTCCTGGCCGCCAATGTGCCCGTCGTCATATCCTCGGACGATCCGTCCTTCTGGCGCTGTGCGCCGCTGTCGCACGACTTCTACTTCGCCTTCCTGGGCATTGCGCCGATGAAGGCGGACCTGCGGTTCCTTAAAAGCCTGGCCATCAACTCCATCCGGTACAGTGCCCTGGGAGGCGAGGAGAAGCGGTTGGGATACGCCAAATGGGAGAAGCAGTGGGATAAGTGGATCGACGACGTGGTGGAGAAGAAGTGTAGTTAGTTCCAGTGCCTGTACCAGATTCCAAATCAATAAAACACAAGTACATATTATATTTTCGCATTTAATTTATTTGAATTTCGCCTGCACACGGATAACTCTGACGCTAGCTAAGAGTTGACTTACATCGATACAATTGATATGGGTGATGGCTAAGCTTCGCTCGTCACACGACCTAAATCTGAGAACTTGTTTCGGGATATTTTCGGGGGATATGTGTGGTTGGGGGCCTAACGAAACTATGGCCAGGATTACCCTGGCTTTGTCCATTTACATCCAGCTAAATTCTTTGTTCAAGCAGAGTTTTAGGCATACGTGTAGATCTGAATACATGTGAGTATATAGCACAGTTATAACTTGAATGCACACGAATTTAGCATTTGCTTAAGCCTTTTACTTCTATGTCTTTAAAAATTACTATTACCATTTACGTTATTATTGGGCAGCATTCCATTCAAATGATTTTCTGAAAATTTCTCTTTCTCTTATTCTTTTCCCTTTTTCCTTTTTTTCTTGCGTTTTATATATAGATGCTTGCAAAAATATTTGTAATATTCGGCCTGTGTCTGTTGTTTGCCCTTGGTTTAGTACTAACCCTATCGTGTTCACATACCTAAACTTACTGCCTCGATATGTTCAAATCCTAAGTATAACTTGCATCGCCATCCCAATTTTCCTTTACAATCTTAACCATCCATGGGGCTTAAGTATCGCTATGCTGTACAAATCTTAAACTCTACTCTTCTATATCTCTGCCCTCGGCCGATCGAGTTTTACTTCAAGCGTGTGAATTGTGTACGCTATGTGAGTTGCTGCCAGTACTGTTGATGCTGCTGCTGTTGTTGATGTTGCTGCTGTTGTTGATGTTGGTGCTGTTCATGTTGCTGTCGAAGTTTTTCGGCCTTCCAACTGGATTCGCCCACGCTCAGCGGATAGGGTATAATATCCGGCTGTTGTTCCGAGGACATGTTGTCCACATCGTTGTGGTCGATGTTGTTACTGTTGTCGGCCACATCCTCTTCGTTGTCCTTGTTGTTGCCGCCATTGTTGTTGGTCAGCTCATTTGGTTCGCCATTAATTTCGTGGTTCCGGCCTTGGTTATTGTTTTTGTTATTGTAATAACCATATTTATTTGTGTTAGACATATTGTCGTTGGTGTTGCTGCTCATGTTGCTGCTATCCGCGTTGCAATTCTGTGGGCGTAAAATTAAGGGAGAGTCAGAAAAAAACATTTGCAATTTTTGTATTAATTTGTGTAGTGAAAATACTTCGTTTTCATGAAAACTTAATTAAATTCTTGTCTCTTGTTTTATTAAAAAACGTCGGTTGTTTTGGGAATTGTTTGGCATGCAGTCAAAGCTAGCACTATTAAAGTTTTTAAATACAACAAGAAAGAAAGCAAACTTCGGTAAGCCGAAGTTCATATATCCTTGCAGCTACAAGTATTGCAAGAACTAAACATTTTTGAAAACATTAAAATTATGATTTACTTGCGTATATGTTTAAAAACATTGAAGCTCTGATGATTTGCAGCTCAACAATTAGATAGTTATTTTATATATTTTTATTATTTTTTAGATTTTCAAATTTCTGCAAAAAATGATGATGTACCCCCTTACAAAAAAGTCAGAAATTTGGACGAAAATATTTTTGTTAAAAACCGTTTTTCTAAATTCTGTTTTTGTGTCAAAACTAAATTAATTGTTTTCGAACGATCAGGGATGGATGGTATAGGTTGCCAGCTGTTCAAAAAAGCAACTCTTTTTACTTTGGGTCTTATTTTGGCAAAGTTACAACAAAAAGACTCTTCAGAAATTATTTTGTTTGAAAAATCGCCAAAAATCCCAAAAAACCCATAAAAAACTTGGTTTTTGTGCCAAAACCCTGGGAAATAATGACCAAAATGTGGAATTTCATACACCGTTGAATTCGTAATAAAATTTCCAATCGAATGGCATTCATTTGCTATTGCAAAAATTAAATATTCTTGAAAACATTAAAGTAATGCAATCACACTTGCGTGTATGTTTACATTGAAGCTATGATGATTTGCAGCTCAATTATTTGATCGTTTCTATGGCAGCTATATGGTATCGTTTTTCGATTTTAATAAAATTAAAAGCGTAATTCTGAACTGTCAAGTTATTAATTAATCAAAACGACATGGCTAGATCGACTCTCCTAGTGATGCTGATCAGGAATATATATACTTTATATGGTCGGAAATGTCTCCTTCACTACGTTGCAAACTTCTGACTGAAATTATAATACCTTCTGCAAGGGTATAAAAAAAGAGCAGGTACTTAAGTGTATGTTTTTGATTACAGGTTTTTTATATTTAAAATGTAGTTTTGTACTTGTAAAATTATTTTTACTGTATCGCTATCGTTTATAGAATATTTGTTTTGGTCGATTCATTCAAGTGGTTCCTGCATGTGGGACAGATAAGGGACCACAAGTACCGCAAAATGCACTTGAACTACTTGTAACTATTGCATTAAATACACAAGCAATCGTTCTCAAAGAAAACTTATAGTAACTGCAAATACATTATATGTAAATATACACGCATAATATATGATAAAAAAAGAATGATTAGCTGAAATTTGATAGCTTTTTGTAAATCTTAAAAGACAGGGAAATATATAACAAAAAGTGTCAATGTCAGAAATGATAATTATAACCGCAAAAAGGCACGGACTAATTTGATAAGACACACAATGCAAAATTAACCTATATAAGGCTGAATGTAAAAGCACTGGGTCACAATTTGCATTTTTAAAAGCAAAGCAACCAAGTTCATAGACCATGAGTGCCTGTACAGAAGAAATTGCTTTTGCAAAAACCAAGGAGACCACGAGGATCGCGATCATCGGAGCTGGAGTCTCAGGAATTGCGGCTGCCACTAGGTTGCTGGAGCACGGATTTAAGAACATCACACTTTTCGAGGCGGAGGATCGCATCGGAGGACGCATCAATACGATCCCCTTTGCAAATAACGTTATCGATCTGGGAGCTCAATGGTGTCACGGGGAACAGGGAAACGTGGTCTTCGAGAAGGTTAAGGACCTGGATGTTCTTGATAGGTCAGATGAATATGGCTTTCACTTTGTGCGATCCAACAAGGAAGTCCTTTCCGATGATCAAACCAAGGCTATTAAGAAATTTCTGCAGGAATATGAAATAACATCCGATTGTGAGGGATCCGTAGGCGATGACTTGAGCCAAAGATATTGGAAGGAGGTGGACCAGCAATTGGTTGCCAACGACAAGACCATTGCCAAAGAGGCACTGGACTGCATGAAGAAGCACCTCTGCAGTGAAGAAGCCTGCGATCATCTGTACGAACTATCGCCTCGAAACTTCTCGAATTTTGATGCCACCGACGGCGATCAGAATCTCAGCTGGCGGCAAAAGGGCTACTGGAAGTTCTTGAGTCTTCTGCTGAACGCCAGCGAGGATCATCCCGGTGATCAGGGGATCCTGAAGGGACATGTGAACCTCAACAAGCGCATTGCCGAGATTAATTGGGCAGGAGACGGTGAACTGACCCTACGCACATGGAATGGTCAGATAATCGCGGTGGATCACGTCATCTGCACCGTCTCCCTGGGAGTTCTCAGGGCAAAGTACCAGAAGCTCTTTGTGCCAGCTCTTCCGGCTGCCAAAGTTCGGTCCATCGAGGGTCTCAGGCTGGGCACCGTCAACAAGTTCATCTTGGAGTTCGAGGAGCAGCCAATGCCGGAGCACATGAGAAGCTTCGCCTGCCTGTGGCTGGAGGACGACCTCAAGGAGCTGCGAGGCAGCAAATACTTCTGGCTGGAGGGCATCGTTGGCTTCCATCGCGTGGCGAGTCAACCGCTCCTGATGGAGGGCTGGATCATCGGGGCCCATGCCCGGTATATGGAAACCCTGCGAGAGAAAAAGGTTCTCGAAGGCCTGCAATGGTTCTTCAGAAAGTTCCTCACATTCAGCGTGCCCCATCCCAAACACTTTTTGCGCACTCAGTGGTACTCCAATCCGAACTTCCGAGGCAGCTATAGTTTCTACCCCACCTATGCTGATGAACTGCGCACGGGGCGCACGGATTTGGGTTCCCCATTGATGAATGTCTCGGGAAGACCCAGGATTCAGTTCGCCGGTGAGGCTACGAGCCCGAATCACTTCGCCACGGTCCATGGAGCCACTGAGACCGGATGGCGCGAGGCCGATCGTCTCAATGAATTCTACAAGGGACGAGCTGAAAACTAACATAATGACTAAATGACTACACAATTCAAGCTTTACAAAGAATTCAAGCACAGAAAAAAAATTTCGATAATTTAATAAATAAAGAACCAACCCACAATATTGATTTTGTTACTTTTCGAAGATTGAATCTTAACATTCCAAATTTCTTTCAATTGAAAGCACAAGTAACCTTTGTTTTTCTGTCTTATTTTGATTAAAGTTTTGAATCTGTTAATTTATATATCTTTTCTCAAATAATAAATACTTCTTGAATTTTTTGAGGAATCGTCTTGTTTTAAAATTAGTAAGTCTAAGCCTAAGAGCTAACTAATGTTGTTTCTGGCTAGGCCTTGATCAAAGTTCTGAATCAATTCTTTCAGTTAATTTAAAACTGTGACTCTTCTGCTATTTAAATTTTCTCTTACCATTTTAGCACCCAATTAAAATTCCTAGATAAATAGCACAGTACAGAACTATAATTTTAAGGAATTTAATCTAGTCAATGGAAGGGTGTGTCGTCATGCTTTCGCACGACGGAATCCCAACTAAACCCATTTAATCCCGACGCAGGTTAGTTAGTTGTACAATTAAGCCGAATGTTCCACTCCCAGCTATGTCATGAGTGCCAGCTTCAACTGTCAGCCACTCACTATCCACATCTCGATGAACGTTCGCAGTTCCCTCACCGCTGACATTGCAATCAGCAAACACAGAGAAATACTTTGCCAGTCATAACAACCATTACCTGGGCCATAACACAAGTCCGGCAAGGAACAGGAACAGGACGACTGCCCTGCCGGCTAGGCAAATGTGTGTCCTTTGGTCAAACAGTGACTTGTTCAACATTGCCACTCGAGGAGTCACTAGCACGTGGACGAACATGAAGACACTTGACAAAAACACCTAATACAACAAAGAAACTGTCTTTAAAATCAACGAAGAGATCCTATAAATTATATTTAAATTTTGGATGGATAAACCACAGTTAATGTCCATAAAACCCTTATTAGTATTATGTCCTTAAATTTATTTTAATTATTAAAAACACAATAAGACTGTTTCACAAAGTAAGCTTATTTAAGTCTGTATTTATTTCCTTTTTATTTATTTTTTAATTTCGACCATCTTGGCTCAAGTAATTCAGGTGCTTTATGAATATAAACTTCATGCTCTTCATAATATAATATAAATTCAAAGAAACGCTTAAAATAAAAAATATTGTAGATTCGCAGAAGAAATCTGGGCAAAAATTATGTTTTAGAGGGTATTCCTGTTTTATTTTTCTTTTCATCTGTCATTTTACATATTTTGGTATTTTATAACCCAGTTTTTTGTCAGTGTATAGTTAGAAAAAACCACGTATCCGGCTGGCTAGACACCGAAGGCAACGGCACCAACGACTGAAGCTCCTGCAGCGCATTAACCGAGGGATCGGCACTGGGATTGGAACACGGAAGGGGGCAGGGCAGGGCAGGTTCATCGGAAAAGCTACAGCAGATGTGGCCAACTTGTTGTCGGGCTTGCCTTCTTTCGACTCGAAGGGCGACAAAGTCGCATATGTAATTGGGAGGTGGCGAAAAAGGGGGACAGGGTGATAAACTAGGAGCAGGATACGAGTACGACCACCAGGGCGACATGCAAACAAACAAACAAATGGAAACACACAAAGGCAGACAGAGTTTACACAGACAGAAAATCTATTGTCCTAAAATGCTTGGATCCTTGGATAATTTCACTAAAATGGCATTGTAAGGCTTATTTTCAGCTGAAAGCAATCTGACAGGGGCGGACATAGACAAACCGTTTTGAACTATAAAAATAATTTTATAATTTAAAAACTATTTTTTTCTGGCTTGTGTTACGGTTTGTTTATAAATGTATTAATGTAAAGCCCATATACATTTTTTTAAAAATTGACCCATGGGAATCTCCACTGCTAGCAACCACTTTTAGTATTTTACAGGAAAGTTTAGATAAACATCTCTCAGAAATTATTTTCATTAATGGTTTTTATCAACACTTGTGTTTGTCCTAGACTTTGTAAACTAAATTAAAAATCAATATCAATATCAAATATGTACTGAAGATGAAACTTTCATGACATTTTCGATCTCAAATCTAGTATTTAAAAACATTTTTCTTCCTGTTTAAAGAGATGTAATGGAAATACGAGAAAGGATAAAGCAGAAGAGATACATGGGAGCAAGGATATTTTGAATGTTTTGGGCCCTGGCTTGGCATAAATTTGAATTTTCAACATGGGCAGCCAAAGTTCTTCTGCAGTTTCTGCCGGCCGGCAATTGCTGGGGCATTTCGGCAGTGAAATCAAATGGCCAGTGCCTCTGGATCTGCTCCTGATTTCGCTCCTGCTCCTGAACCCTGGCTCCTGTTGACCTGTTGTGGTTTTTGTGGCCATCCATGGCTGGTGTGGTCTGGTCCCGATGGCCTTTGGGTTGTGTTCTTGCTGCACCAACTACTGGTATGTGCTAAACTGATTTCAGCTTTCCCTATTCCGCACGTAATCTGAACTTTTGCATGTGTGAGACCTCAGTGGCCACGCCCTCTGGCCACCACCCCCGCCCCCGCTTTTGAATCAAATGTTTGCAAATGTTCCGAAAAACAGGCGCAATTACAACGTTGTTTGCTGCTCGCTGCAAATGAGTTGGTCAACATGTTTGGCTTTTATTTAAGTTTTTTTTACGAATGTATTTGAGTTTTGTTTGCAACTGCAATGCATGAAATTTAAAAATCTGGACTCAGATACCGAGTTTTTATGACTCGGTCAAGACACAGACAAACAAATGCATGGGGAAAAATTATTGGCTGTCTACGTTCAGACATTAAAATTGTCCATAAAATATGGATGAACTGGAAAGGCAGTATACAGATTTTCAAGCATGAAAAGGAGCTTACATCACATGCAATATTAGATTATTAGATTTGGCAGTCTACATTGGTATTGAGCTGCACGGCAAAGTACTGAAATGATAACATTGTTTGGATGTTGGCTTATCTTGCAATAATAATAAAAATATAAATTGTTATGGACAATTATTACTTTTCGTTAAAGCTAGCAGCAAAACTTAGAATAAATATTTTCAAACTCTGTTGTTAAGATAAAAATCTTATATCTAATCTGGCCAAGAACATTAAATTGAATTCTAGCTATAACATGGTTAACTATTGATTAGGCACTGGATTCCAAGAACACCTGCCAAAAGAACTCAACGTGCCGATAAGATAGAGTATGTAAGTAAACTAAAATAAAAACTTTAAAATCGGTTTGTTGAAATCCAAAAAAAATGCAGCATTAATAATAAAATCAATTTAGTTTATTACACAAAAAAAGTTTTGTATTGGTCTGTATACATTTTATTAAAAAAGTCTTGGTCTTATTATTGTAAAATATTCTTTTGACATCTACAAAAACATTTAAGATTTGCAAAATAAATATTTTCTTTCTCTATTTCTACACATTTTTAATGGCAAAGAACGGAGAACATAAATAAAGTAAATATATATTAAGTTTTCATGCCCCATTGGCTGTGGAAAATCCCGATTCCACGCTTTTGCAAACATTCCACCGGAGTCACGAGGTGTGAGCTCACAGCTGTGCAGTTCGCGACCGGTAATATAGGTGCAAACGATCCGCCTCGCGCCAGCCCGTTTCCACGGCTCCATGGACCGTGGAGTAGAAGTGCTTGTGCGAGGACTCCCCGGCGAACTGGAGGCGTGGCCTGCCACCCACATCCTGGAGCGGCGCCTCCAGATCCCAGGCACCCGTCCGCAGGGCATCGGTGTAGGTGGATCGGAAGGTGTAGCTGCCCCGGAAGTTGGGATTGGCATGCCACTGGGTGCGCAGCATTCGCAGAGGCTGAGCTACCGCGAAGGGCAGAAATTTCTTGAAGAGCCACAGAAGACCCTCTAAGACCTTTTCCTCGGATAGGGTTTCCATGTGCCGGGCATGTGGTCCAATGATCCAGCCCTGCAGTAGACGTGGCTGCTTGGAGACGGGATAAAAGCCAAACACACTCTCCAGCCAAAAGAGTTCGGAGGCTCGCAGTTCCTCAAGATCCTTCTTTAGCCAGAGGCAACCAAAGCCAGGCCAATCATTGGGCAATGGTGGACTCTCGAATTCCAGGAAGAACTTGTCCACGGTGCCCAGTTTGAGACCCTCGATGGCTCTCACTTTGGCCGCTGGCAGGGCGGGCACAAAGAGCTTGGGATGCTGCTCCTTTAAAACTCCCAGCGAAACTGTACATATGACATGATCTGCGGTGATAATCTCGCCATTCCAGCAGCGCAGGGTTAGCTCTCCCGTTCCCTCCCAATTAATTTCGGCAATCCGTTTGTTGAGCAGGACATGACCCTTAAGGATGCCCAGATCATCGGGTTGGTCCTCCTGGGCTTTCATGAGAAGCCTCAAGAATCTCTTGTAGCCCTTGTCCCGCCAATTGAGCAGCAGTTCACCCTCGCATAGCCAGTATTCCAGGTGTCCCTTGCCGGAGACTTCGAACAGGTGATCGGCCGCCTCCACGGAGGCCTCGAACTTGTGGAACACCTCCAGGAACTCCTCGGCAATGGTGCGTTCGATGGGCGGCAGTTTGGCCAGCTCTTTCCAGTACTTCAAGTTGATGTAGTCACCCAGGGAGCCGTCGAAATCAAGCAGTTCTGTCTGCCTGTCTGGTATCGAGTTTTCAGCTATGGTTTTCAGTTGATCTGCTATTTCTTCGGGCAGAACTTCTCTGTTGGATCGCACGCACTTATAGGTTTCGTAGTGGGGTTCCGTAGCCTCTAGCAGATTCAGATCCTTGACCCGCTCGTAGACCACATTTCCCTTCTCACCGTGACACCACTGGGCACCCAAATCGACGACGTTGTCCGCAAAGGGAATCGTGTGCACACGCCCGCCAATACGATCTTCGGCCTCCAGGAGGAGAACATTTCGGAATCCCAGTTCCAGAAGACGGGTGGCTGCAGCTATTCCGGCAGATCCCGCTCCCACGATCACAATGCGAGCGGTTTGTTTGGTTTTACCCAGCAGACGCAAAGATGCGGCACTCATGATGGGAAAATATGGGTATGTAGGTATACTTCTTACAACAACCGCACGTGTTTCACGTTCGACGATTGGCACGAAACTAAAACGCGTCTATTCACTTTCACTCACTCTCCCCGTATATTTTCTTTATTTTTGCCCGTTTCTTCCCTATCTCTGAGTATTTATGGTTCTCTGCGATAAGAGCCAACCCAGTGATAAGGCGGCTTTAATTGTTGCCCAGCCGAAATGGTGTTATGTCAATGCAATTAAACCGAGAATAAAGCAATTGACAGGCTTGCAATTCAGAGTCAGCATTAAATATCAGTGGTTGAAGAGAGCGTAAGAGTAGAACAAATACGCTTAGCTACTAATTAAGAGAGCTCTCTCTTTACTTTCGCTCGTTGCCCACAGACCAAAATAGCATTTACTCTTAGCATTTCATGTTTTTAGCATCACCATGAGACCATGAATTTGCATACTTGAATAAATTTTGTTTTAATAACTTACTATAAAAAGGTGACTACTAAATTAAAATAAAACCATACCAAACCTATAACTACAGCAGCTCTATATAAATAAAGTAAACGTAGCCTTATTTACTTCAATTGAGGAAAAAGGGATGATCATTAAATAAGAAACCAAGCCAAACGGTAATAAAATGTTTAAAAATAACAGGTCAAAAAATAGATGTTATCTGTGTTAAAACTTTTAGTTTACAATTTTTAAACTTAAATAAAACAATTTATTTAAGAATTTGCTTGGTCGCGAAAGTCATTTTAGGACATCCAATTTCTATGGCTATAGAACCATTCTTCGGCAATTGACTATAGTCATCTACTGCAAAAAAAACCCCATTCACCGCTTACAAAGTCAAAACAAAACAAAAGCCTCACTTTAGGCGCACAAACAATCGCACGCACACCCCCTCCACCGTGTGGCGTTTTAAACTTCCCACCCAAAAGTATGCAACAAAATGTTTTCGTTCGGTTTGCCAGTAGCGCAGTGAGCGAGCTCCTTTGATGAATGTATTCATAAAAATCCAATCATTGCAATTGCGCAGCGCATACGGGCGGCGAAGGAAAAGGCATTCAAGATGAATTCGCCAAAATAATGGGAAAACACAACAGACAGCTGGGCGCAGCCACCCATCCACACCCACCACCATTTACAATTTACCCGCAGGGAATAGGGATTGTGAGTCAACAAAAAAATTGCAGCAATAATTTTTTTTCGGAAAACAAAAACACATTTGTGCATAGCTTGGGAAAATAACCAGAGCTGAATACAATTTATTGGCAGGCAAAGGCTATTTGATACCCAGCCATGATAAACTTATCTAAGCGCGATTAAAACAAAAAACAGTTTTTTTTAATTCTTAAGTTTTTAAGGGTCTACTTATTATAATAATATTGATATTGAAGTAAATATAATACTTTAAGTATGTCTTCCTTCTCTTGACTCTTTCTATCTAATGATGTATTTGGTTTATACTATTATATTTATTATCTTTTACCAAGGTTAAAGCATACAATGAGTATATATCAATAGTAATATTTACATAGAATTTGCAGACAATAATCCCTTGTTATAATTATTATTCGGGTCAAATGTTTTAACAAACTATTTATATACCCAACTTTATAACCATCATGCCCACTCCAGGATGTTTACGGGGTATTACCTAAAGTCAGGGCGTTTACAACAACAAAAGATGCGATTAAAATGACAAGTGAAAGCAATTTTCGTGCATCTGGTACGGCAAGTGTGGGAATACAAGATGGAAAAGGCAGAATGATTGTCGAGGTAAGGACACAACCCGAATGATTGCCTCAACTGGCATGCGAATACAGTTGGGCCAGTGTAATATGACATCGTTTATGGGCCTGCTGCCGCAGGAACACCGAAGACAAGACAAGAACAGCCCCAAACCCTGCCCCCAGGTACTCACATTCGTGCTGCATTCACATTTCAGTATCCATTCTACGGCAATGAATTTATTCTCGATTTGTATCTGATGTGATTGCAGGAATTCCTGATCGATTGGCTCCAAGGCGACCGTATCCCATAACTGTGCATTTTCCAGCAGCTCCTCCTCCTCATCGGCCCCATCATCATCATCATCAACATTATCGTCATCCTGGGGCTCCTTCAGATGCCTTTTTCTGCCAACTTTCCATTGCTGTACGTAGTTAATTGGATCGACAGCATTTAAAGGACACAACAGCTCGACCTGAAGCAACAGAAAAAAATGACATAAAGGGAAAAAAGAACCATTGTAAAACGTTGGAAGTTGTAAGGAGTAAAAATCTCGGCTGAGAGGATTTTACATTTCATGGAAAAATTTCAATTGGTTGGATGTGGATGGGAGAAGAGGTGTTAAATTGATTTTGACATCTGGGCACGGTTTGACTTTTAATTTTGCTGCCATTTTGAATTGGCACTTGTTTTTGCAACTGAGCAAATTGACGTTTTAATGCAATTTGCTTTTTAATTAAAAGTAAAAGGCAGCAGAAAGGCAAGAGCCAATAAACTAAATAAAAACGGCAACGTGGAACTGACTTCTGGGTATTACTGGCAGGGGTTATCCTGTCAATTAAATTTCCAGGTATCATCAAACAAATTTGTGAGACTGCTTTGGAATGCGCATAAATAAATATTAAAAAAGGTAAATCGCGGCAAGCCGCAACATAAGTCCCAAAATAAATAAATAATGAATAATGAAAAATACACAAATAACATATGCTAATGCCAACAAATTAAATTGATCAAAAATATTTCATGGCCTGAAAGCATTTAAACAATTTTTTTAATTGTAGCAAACAAATTATAAGTTTATTTTATGAACCAAATTTGTATTTGTAATAATTGTTGGACTAAAAAATTATTTCTTATTACTTTAATGATTTATTAAATGGGGTTTTTTTTTAAATAAAGCTACATAGGTAAAACAAATTAACTAAATTTGGTTTTCATTTTACTATTAAGAATCTTTTTTAAATTATTATTATTTTTTTATACAGGCTTATGCAAATTCAGAAAAGTTGACATTATCCAAAATTGCAGGGTATCGTTGGATTTAAGAACTATCACTATGGCAAAAGGCAGTGTTGTTGATGGGATTGCTTTTAAATTGACGGTAATTTAATTGAAATGAACAAATGGCGAAAAACAAGCTTGGATGCTGGGAATGCAAATTTCTGCAAACTGCAAAGGTGAAGCCAGACAGAGAAAGAAAGAAAAGTGGGAAACTCAATCCGCGTAAATTTCCATCTCCTCCTTAGACGCCAGGTGGTGGGACTTTAAGCTCAGCCCGTATTAGCCCAGTTGCCATTGGGCAGGTGCGGAATATATCCCGGGAATCGTCTTCCCCACTCACCTGTATCGTGGTGGACACCGCCGGGGCACAGCACTTGACCCCGCGATGGCATCTACCGCACAGTTTCGGTCGATACAGCTTCCGGGAAACGCACTCGCCAAGGCGAATCCTGGCAGGACCCAGGCGCTGGATGCTCCGGCACTCGTGGCCCTTCTACGGCGGAAAAACAGAAGGAAAAATATGCGAAAAGTAAAGTTATTAGTCAAGAGCCTTTAAATAGAAACAATGCAACAAAAAACCAGTGGGTAAAGTATTTTCAAATTTTGTAATATATATTTTTCATTAAATTGGTAGTTCGATTTTACTTTTAACTAAGAAAAACTTACAAACGTTTAAGGTTCATTAATAATTTTAAACTTTAATTCGGGGTGATACTACATTTTTTTACCATTGAATAGTCGAACAAAATGCCTAAAGGATTTTAATATTATGATAAAGCTTATTTCATTTTTTAATTTTTTTACTTAAGTCGTTTTGGGAAAGGCAATTAATTTTAATTTGATTCGATAAGTTAAATTGAACAGCTTCAAAATGTATTACGCTTGTTTTAACTAGTTTGGAGCTGTAGGAAAGCCGTTGCTTGCTTGTTTAAAAATACTTAAACACGTTTTTCGTGCTCAAAACTCAGATTCACCAGTGTTGTTGGTAACATTCCCAAAATGGCAAAAGCATTTCGTCATTAAATGGACACTCACTCGTATCCTGTGGGCAGGCTGCTCGTGCTCCTTGTGGTGATGATAGTGCTTATGGGAGTGGCTGTGGGCGTGATGCTGCTTCCGCTTGTGCGTCAACGGATGGCTCCTGCCCCGCTTATTGTCCTCGTGGTCGTCCTTGTCGCACCTGCGATTCTCGCAGAGCCGCAAATTGCTCAGTTGATGGCAGCCCGCGTGGGTGGTGGTGTGCCGCGAGGCGGTGCCAAGGCCGCAGCTCCGGCTGCAGGCGGTCCAGTTGCCGCTTGTGGTGCTGTTGTGGCAGGTGGCGTAAACTGCAACGAGAGGAGTGACAAAAGATTGCTAATTACTACGCTCATGATCGGGGGGCTCGTTAATCAATGCCCCAAAGGACAATAACGAAACATTCTTAGATCTTGGTTCGAGAATATGTTTAAGTAATGCAGTTTGTTTTTCAAGATGCAATTTTATTCTAAATTTAATGTAAATTTATCTCAAAAAGCTAAATTGTTTTTTATTATACAACAAAAATGTCCCACTCTCATTGAAATTCGAATCAAAGCGTTGCCAAACTTTTAAAAATAAAAATCTAAAAATGAAGCCAGATAGAGAGTCGTTTTCGAACACTGAAGTGTACTCCGTGGGAGATTGGCAGAAGTTCAAGCTGCTGCTATGGAAGAATTGGACACTTCAGTGGAATCAGAAAATGCAAATTTTTTGCGTTATGCTTCTGCCAACGTTGTTTCTTTGTCTTATTGTTATTATGCGTTTAATAGTAAGGCCCGAGTCTCTGCCGGAAATTCGATACCAGCCTGAATCTACATCGGACTTATTGTTGTATATGAAAACGGTTCCGCTCGGCAATCGGATAATGCACGAGAATGGAACGCTTAATATACCACGAAATTTCCTTTGCTTCACTCCGGATACACCGTTCAATACTGAGATTATGAATGCTACGGTATTGCGGCTTAGACTTCTAGGGATTCGACCTTATGACACTGCATCGCACATGGAAAAGGATATGTTGATGCATAACTTTCTGGCCGGAGTGGAATTTGGAGAGCAGGCAGGGGCCATCAATGACTACGGATATCCGATTGAATTAAATTACACGATTCGTTTTCCCAGTGAACTGCGAACAATGGAAGGACCAGTTATTGAAACATGGACGACATCTAGATTGTATCTACCCTATGACTCGACTGGACCGCGTAATAGAGAGATAAACGATGGCGGAGTTCCGGTTGGTTATATTAGGGAGGGGTTTCTGCCAATCCAACATGCCCTAACTATGTCGTGGTTGACCCTGGCATCGGGAATCACCGATGCAGATCTGCCGCATATAAATATTCAACGCTTTCCCTACAGAGCATTTAGCTATGATCTATTGTTGAGTGGCCTGCGTCAACTACTGCCCTTCGTGATCCTGCTGAGCTTCATCTATCCCTGCTCGACGGTGACCAAGTATGTGACCACCGAGAAGGAACTGCAACTCAAGGAAATAATGAAATTGATCGGCGTACACAACTGGCTGCATTGGATGGCTTGGTTCGTCAAGAGTTATGTAATGCTTATGGTGGTGGTGCTGCTCGTCATGTTCCTGATGATGATCAAGTTCTACTACTCCGTCTCGGTACTTTCGCATTCAAATGTACTTCCTGTATTGGTATTTTTGCACACATATGTGATAGCTAGCATATGTTTTTGCTTTTTGCTGGCGGTAATGTTTTCAAAAGCCAGCACAGCATCTGCAGTGGCCTGTATTCTCTGGTTCATTACCTTTATACCCTATTCATTTGCCTACTACTATTACGATCGTCTTAACCTCTTCCACAAAATGCTCATCAGCATGGTGTTTACGAACTCGGCCCTGGGCTTTGGCCTCCATGTCATAATCATGTGGGAAGGAACTGGCGAAGGAGTCTCTTGGCACAATATGTTCCAGCCCGTCTCGGAGGACGATGATCTGACCCTGTTCTACGTGATCATGGCCATGACCTTCGGGGCAGGCATATATTTCATTCTTTGCCTCTATGTGGAACAGGTATTTCCTGGTGACTACGGTATACCTCGTAGGTGGGACTTCATCTTTCGCAGATCATTCTGGCTGGACTTTATGCCCTTTAGATTTGTTATAAAAAATACAAAATTCGACAGCACCGCTAGTGAATCGGCGAACAAAAGAAAAAGCTGTAGAACCAATAGGGTTGTGGGCGTTCAACTGTGCGACCTTCAGAAAACATATGGCAAACATCGAGCAGTCAAGGGTATAAACTTGAAGATGTATCGCAATGAAATTACAGTCCTACTTGGCCACAATGGAGCTGGCAAGACCACAACCATCAACATGATAACGGGCATAATTAAGCCCACAAGGGGAACGGCCATAGTAAACGGCTATGATATTCGACATGATTTGGCTAAAGCGCGGCAATCATTGGGAATTTGCCCGCAAGTCAATATACTGTTCAACAACATGAGTGTTCGCGACCATATTAAGTTCTTCAGTAAGCTGAAAGGAATACGTGGCGCCAAGGCGGTCGACAACGAAGTGGGTAAGTATGTGACCATGCTGGAGCTGCAGGACAAGTCTTTTGTGGCCGCTGAAAAGCTTTCCGGTGGCATGAAGCGCAAGTTGGCCCTTTGTTGTGCCCTGTGTGGAAATGCTCGGGTTGTACTGTGCGATGAGCCGAGTTCAGGCATCGATGCAGCCGGTCGCAGAAGTCTTTGGGATCTATTGCAAAGCGAAAAGAACGGACGGACTATTCTGCTAACCACTCACTACATGGATGAAGCTGATGTCCTGGGCGATCGCATAGCTGTCATAGCCAATGGCTTGCTGCAATGCCAAGGTACCTCCTTTTATTTGAAGAAAAAATTTGGCACTGGCTATCAATTGGTCTGCATGATGAAGAGTGGCTGCAATGTGGCCGCAGTCACCGAGTTGATAAATCGGCATGTGCCTAATTTAAAACTGGAAAGGCAGCTGGGAACCGAACTAACATATCGCCTGTCCACCGATTATTCCAAGAACTTTGCGGCATTGCTAAAGGATTTGGATGTGAATTGTGACAACTTGAAATTGGAGGGGTATGGCCTGAGTGGAGCCACGTTAGAAGATGTTTTCATTGAAGTCAACAGCGAAAGAAGAGTTCGTGGCGGAGAGGATGTGGCTCAGGCTGAAAAAAGTGTGGGCTTCAAGGACTTGGTGTTTGATACAAGAACGAGGGAAACACGAGCTTGGATCCGTTTTTGTATGTTTTGGCAGGCTTTGTTTTTGAAGAAATTGTATATCACCATAGGATATTACTGGCTCGTGATTATTCAGATTTTTCTGCCCATAATTATTATGACCCTGACCATATTTAACTCGCGCGGTGGTAGGATTTACTACGAATTACCTTCCATGCCCGTAACCATTCTGCAGTACAAATACGTTTACGTAGTGTTGGATGATAATGCCACTGATTCAGCGTCGAGTTTAGCTGTGACTTACATGGATCACTTGAAGCAATTCGGTAAAAAAGTAAAGCTGCTTAAAACAGGAGACTCAAGCTTTGAGGATTACATACTGAGTCGTGACAAAAGTGAATACCGCCGAGTTGACTTCGATTATGTGGCCGGGCTGACCATCAGTAAGGATTACTTGACTGCGTGGTTGAATAACAAACCCCTGCATACCGCACCATTGACGCTTAACCTATTGCATAATGCTTTGGCCATTAAATTGCTCGGCAAGGAGGCTTCTACACATGTAAGTAATTTTCCATTGCCTTACAGCGAGGATACCAGGACATTACGTCTAAATAAGGGCCAACGTTTGGGTGCTGAAATAGCTATCAATTTAAGCTTGACCATGGCATTCGTAACATCCTTCTTTGCGATCCCCGTCATAAAAGAGCGAGAGACTCGAGCCAAACTCTTGCAATTCCTAAGTGGAGTGGATGTGTGTGCTTACTGGACGAGTCAAATGGTATGGGACTATTTCATATTTATCATATCCGTTCTTTCGGCTATATTTACGATTGCTGCGTTTCAAGAGCGTGGCTATTCAACACCTTTAGAATTGAGTCGGTTCTTTTATCTGCTGTTAATATTTGGATTAGCTGGCATTCCCCTGAGCTATGCTCTGTCGGGGTTTTTCTCCAATGCTGCCACAGGTTTTACACGAATTTCCATTTTCAATACATTGGCAGGAAGTGGATTTTTTATGCTGGTCGTAGCGCTTGATTTTGAGGCATTTCAGCTGCGGCATGTGTCATCGGCACTTGCCTGGTACTTTCGAGTATTTCCACACTATAGTTTGGCCAGTGCCGCTCACCACATCCATATAGGATATAATATTCGAAGTGGGTGCAGTCTGAGAAGCATCACGAAATTGTCCGAAAAAGAACGTTGTCGCAATGTTCCCATATGCTGTAATATTCCAGGATATTTTGCATGGAAAAAACCTGGTACTCTGCCAGATATCGTATATCTACTTGCTGTGGGATTAGCTTTATTTTTGCTACCAATTATGTATGATGCCAAAGTATTCGATTCATTTGGCGAAGCCTTGAGCAAGTTGTGCTCCGGAAGAAAGCGTTCGCGGGGAGGATTTTCAATCGAAAATGAGGACGTTGTTGCGGAACGATTGGTTGTTAGAAAAATGATTAATTCCCAACGAAAAGATATACCTCTTATGGTGAATAATATTACCAAGCGCTATAAAGATAAGCTGGCAGTGAGGGGCGTTTCGTTTCATGTCGCACATGCCGAATGTTTTGGCCTTCTTGGAGTGAATGGAGCTGGTAAAACTTCAACCTTTAAAATGCTAACTGGCGATCACAAGATCACCTCCGGAGAAGCCTACTTAGATGGCGACAACATAACCACTCATAAGATTCACGGGAAAATTGGTTATTGCCCGCAGTTTGATGCATTGTTCGATGATTTGACTGGTCGGCAAACGTTAAAAATTTATTGCCTATTAAAAGGTGTGCAACGTCGACATATCAATGCAATAACTTGGACAATAGCCGTATCTTTTGGATTCGAAAAGCACTTGGATAAGCGAACGAAACATTATAGTGGTGGTAACAAGCGAAAGTTGAGCACGGCCATTGCGGTGCTTGGAAATCCATCGGTTTTATATCTAGATGAGCCCACCAGTGGCATGGATCCCGGTGCTAGACGACAACTTTGGCAAGTAATAGGTCTCATTCGTACAGCTGGAAAATCAATTGTCCTCACTTCACACAGTATGGATGAGTGCGAGGCGTTGTGCACCCGATTAGCCATAATGGTGGATGGCGAATTTAAGTGCATCGGAACAGTGCAAAGTTTAAAAATCAAATACTCAAAGGGACTCATACTGAAGATAAAAATCAAGCATAAAAAGAAAAATTTTCAAAGAATTTTGGAACGATCGTCTTCCTCAAGCCAAAATAATTCCTTCGCAGAAGTTGATCCTAAAATGGACTCATTTTTAGGCACAGACAATTTACTACCAGATCGAGTTTTAAGGTTAAATAGATTTATATTGAAAGGGATTCCCCATTCCGAATTCAAAGATGAATATAATGGCCTAGTAACATACTATATGCCTCAATCGACAAATTTGGCTACAATTTTTGAACTCCTTGAAAGTAACATGCAAAAATTGAATATTGAAGATTATTTAATTATGCAGACACGGTTGGAGGAAATATTCTTAGATTTTGCATCAAAACGGGCTGGTTCTTCAGTGATAACTAAAAAGTGAGTTGTTAACTTTTCATTTAGACGTCTTAATCATTTTTAAATTTTGTTTCAGAAAATTTTTGTGTTGCTAGCTGAATGAATAGTTTTGTTATTATTTTTGTATTCTGTTATTTTTCCTTTAATTCTGTTATTTTAAATATATTCTTTAAGATTTTTACGAGACATACATTTTGCTGTACTATATTGGAATTTTTACTTTTAATTTTCATTTATTTAGTTTTTGATTTCCGATGACTCTTCAACTTAAACACCCTGTGCACTAATTGCTGGCCAGGAATGGCAGCTCCTCAGATCCTGTGAGCCCCTCGTTTTATGTTCAAAGGGCTTTCCATTTAAGTCGCCAAAAGATATACCCTGTAGCTGCTGGCAGAAACGCTTAATATCTTGTTTATTTATTGCATTCTGCGCGTTTAATTAACACTTAATCCTTGTGTAAGTAATTACAGCTTTTGCTTCTGCTCGTGGCCTCCAGTCTCGTGATGGAATAATTCATCTTCATAAATATGCGCTGCACTCTCTACTCGGTTTTGGGCGTAGGATGTGGGCATTCGGGGTGGGATGTGGGTTTTGGAGGGCGCTTAAAAAGCATTAAGTTGCGCATCGGACACAGCACGACACGCCCCTGAGCGCCATTAACTCAGACCAGTGGGCGGGAGGTAGGGGAAGGAAGTGGGCACAATGGGATGGCCAGAGCCATAAACACACTTATAAAACAATAACAAGGTCATGGCAGTGGAAATGGGAATGCACTGAGAAAAAAATTGCTTAATGTGGTCATTCATTTGGAAGATTTCAAATTGCTGTCATGTGAATTTATGTTAGATCAATAGATGAAATATGGATTTTTTGTTTTTTTTTGGGATCTATCTCAATTATACTTTATTACAAAATTTAAACATTTTCTGAGGTATTTTCACTTAAATAAATTACATAAACAGTTCTACGTTTTCTAAATACTTTTTTTTTCTGAGTGCAAATGGTCGACTTACCATCAGCTGTTGGATTCTCACAGAGCCACATCTTGCAGCAGTGGCCAGGAACTTCGACGAGGCGCGGCGATCGGCAGGAAATCGTATCGTCCGGCGCCGGGAGCTGTTCGTTGGGGCACAGCGTCGAGCAGGCGTGACGGCCATTCTGCAATGCCACATTAAAATACATTAAATGTGGCCCATTGTTGCTGCTGTTGGGTTGTTTATTTAGCTTTGGTCGGGCAGCCGAAAATAAAGTCATAATGTAAAGAAAATATTGGCCCAATCGCACGAGGATGGCCAAAACTTGGCAGGGTCCTCGACTCGGCCACGAACTTTTGCTTGGCATTCGTGTCTTTATGTTTGCCCTTGTATATGGAGAAATTAACATTTCGGTCGGACCCTCACTGCTTTGTTTGTAATCCACTTTTCGCCTCTAAGCGGTCAGAGAGCCCAATGGGCTCCCATTCCCTGTATTTGGCATCGTCACGAAATTGCATTGCATAAATTGCGAGTGCTTGTGTTTGTATTATGCCACATGATAAACTACCAGCGCAGCTGGAAAAAAGGCGCAAAAACCAAACTAGAAATGGAAAAACTAGGAGCGATTACATAGGTGGGGTCGGGGTCCAGCCATAAAGCAATGTCAAGGACTTAGTTTTTCTTTTGTTTGAACTTTAATCGTAGTTTTATCTTCAAGGATTCAGAGAAGCTGAAGAGCCGCTTAAAAATTCAACTCAACCTGGTACAAAAAACTAAAATTATTTTTAGAAACTATTTTTAGTTAATATGGAATAAAATATAAAATAAATTATCAGCTAATGTTATAAATAACAATAAAGTTATTTTTAGAAACTATTTTTAGTTTATTTGAAAAAAATATAAATAAAGTATTATCAGCTTATGTTATTAATACTTATCAAGAAAAAGTTATAATTATGTTAAACTATTTTTATTAAGATTAAAAAAACTAAACTAATTTTTCATTAACATTTATTGCATCATTTAGATTGGATAATGACTGTTAAACACTGCTTAAATCTCATTAGCGAAACAGAGTTGAACCCGTTATAACAGCTATTAAAAACTACTGTGCAATTGTAGTTCCAAGCATTTGGCACTATATTTAAATTTTAATTAAAATCGCTACCCAGCAAAAGCAGTTCGCTTCTAAATGGTGCCAGTGCTGGCACTAATCCCACCCAAAACTCACAAGGCCAAAAGCAAAGGCTGAAACTAAAAGCCAAAATAGCACAGGTTAAACAACAGCGATGGCAACGAGAATAGTTTAACGAAACTGCAGTTGGCTTTTGGTCTGAATGCTTTTTGTACGCCAATATCTGTATCTGTGTACATACTATACTATATATATCTCTGGATGTCTGTGGCTTGTGGCCAACTCTTGTGCGACTGGCCCCCAGCAGATGGCCACCGGCTGCGACCTGGGAACTGTGACTGTGACTGTGACTGTGAGTGTGACTCGCGACTTACCTCGCAAACGCATTGAGTTTTACAATCCAATTTAAATGTGACTCCATGTGCGAATGTTGTGTTGCCAACGCTGCAATTGGCTGCAGGCGAATCCGAAGTGAAGACCGTATCCGAATCCAGATGTTGCGTTGGTTGCCATTGTTGTCACCACAAAAATAGTTGGAAAATAGGAAAAAAATACGATTCAAATGAGCATAAGAATAGTACAATTTTCCAGGGTTAAGGGAATCGAACTGAGTTGCACATATAAACCCTTTAAAGGCAAAACGAACCTCAAGCATTTCTTAGGCAATCAGTGCTTTGACTTGTTTATTCTTCATTTTATTTCGCTTTGCTTTCATTTCACTGCTAATTTATGTCATCAAATGCGTAATACATGTCGTATGTGCAATTCGAATGAATGGGAGCCCAATTAATGTCAGTGCTGTTTGTTATAAATTTCGCTAGAATTGCATATTTACAGCGCAAACAATAGACCTGCTGCCAGGCCATCGTTTGCCTCCGTGTATCATCAAAATTGATATTGACAAACGCCGCTGCTTTATGGCATGCCATTAGCCCGCAAAAGTTTATTTTTGCCCCATTCTTTGTTTAGCATAGAGAAAAAATCATTCTTTGATAAATATATAATTAAAAATTTAATTAAAACTTTAATCAGATCTATTTATGGTCTAATGTATTTGTGAGAAGTTTCTTTAAAAATCATAGTTGGCTAACAAATAAATCTTATTTTTAATTTAATTATTTAATTTCAGAGTAAAAATTGTTTTATATTATAATAGTGTTTGTTTGTTAAGATATATTTAAATAGCGTCAAATACAGTATATAAAATATATGTATTACAACTTAAAGGAACATATTATATGATAAATTATTGCAGTATTATAAATTATATTAATAATTTTAATAATATTTTTAGGTGGTCTTGTGACTAAAATTTTTTTGAAATGTCTATTAAAAACAATTATTTAAAAGACTTTGCAAATATGTTTTTCGGTGTCCTTCGGCTGTAACTGTTCAGACACGGCTGGCTCTTGTTTTGGCCTGGCCAAAAACTCGTATGTGTAACCGCCAATCACAATTACCAGGGCTTGTGGCGGGACATTTGCAATCGCACTGTGAAGATGAACGGGGCGCATAGGCAGTGCTCGTGGGGGCACCGACCGAAAGAGGAGCTCAAGCCCAGCCACCCACTTGTGCTTTGTGTGCAAGGGGATCGGGTACGTGCCCTGTACTTTTCCACTTTGAATTGATTTCACTGGGCGACGTGACTTTCACGGAAGGACGAGACGTGTGCGCGTGTGCCCTACCATCATTCATTTGGCATCAATGGTTAATGCGAAAATTGGCATTGCTAGCTGATTGTAATGAATATGGGCACGTTGTCGCATCTTTATGACATTAGCAATTTACGTTTATTATTGAAAAGTTCCCAGCGAGCAACGGACAATGCCGGAAGTATCTACGTGCATCGCACCCATTACTCCTGCTATATCGTGTCATTTTCCAAAGTGCAATCTGCTTAATGTGTTTCTCCGTTCTAACAAGAAGACGTCTACATAGAGCACCCACACACACACACACTCACACACTCGGTTGGGTTCAAAAACCTTGCACCCCTTGACGGTGATGTTTTGGAAATGCACCTGTGTGGGTGCTTCGTGTAAGTATGTTTGTCACAAGCAATCACTTTCCGACTTTGTTGGCGATGTAAACGAACAGCAAATACTCTAAGCTTCTTACTCTCTCGATGATCAAAGAGTCTCAGAAAATATTACTTTGTTTACTGGTTTGTTTTTAGTTGCTAGCCCATATTAATAAGTTCAAAGGCTTGACTTTAATGGATGTGAAGTAGTTTGAAAATATTCCAATTTGCCGAATGTATTTATTTTTGTATTTATGTGTTTATACGGCAGACTGATATTCTCATATATATTTTGAGCAGGAATATAATATATATTTTTTGAGTGTATGATGAATTATAATTCATTTTTTTAATTAATTTTTCACTAGTTCCAAAATAAGACTTTTCATAATTAATTTTAAATTACCAATGTACTTTTACACGATTACACTGGCTTACAAATCGTAACCCTCAAAATAAATTCTTGGCAATAGCAATTGCTAAAAAAGTTTATAACGGCAGACTGATATTCTGATATTTATTCTGAGCAACAACATATAAACTTTATAAAATGGTACCATACAGAAAATGTCCAACTGCACCAAAAAAACAAGTTTTGGAAGATTTTTCCAATTTAAATTTGTAAGCATGTGTTATTTAATCAACATAGACATCTTTGCTAACGTTTAACATCATTAAAAGTGATCAATATCTCTAACATTACAAAATCACGATTAAACAAGTAATACAGGAAATGTTGATTATATATAAAAAACGTATATAAATGAGCCATCAAAAAAGTCTAGCACTCATTCGGCAAAAAATTGTAAAATGGAACTCTACAAGTTCTTGCTATGGCAGACACTTATCCTGCTGAAAATTGTGCATCCATCATTTGAAATTAACTACGAGTATGTTTTCTTAGACGAAAATGTGTTTAATAGTTGTCCAGATCCACCGCCAGGATTTTCAGACGTGCATAAGCTGTTCGATTTATCGGAACTGAACTCTGAAATAAAACCAGATGGCCTTCACATAAGCGGAAATATAACCATTGTGTGGGATGTACAGCCAACGGATCGCATTGAGGTAACTTGGCATAACAAATGGATTAATGCATTTAATTAATTTACTTTCAGGGGCGAATTAGTGTCTTACACTTGGATCGTGGATCTTGGCAACCGACCATTCTTAATATTTGGACCTACGATTTCTGCAAAATTTTTAACGATCAGAAACAAGTTTGGTATAATAGTTTTGTAAAATATATTGTAAATAAAAATGATACAGAAAAATGTTTCAACAATAAAGGGGTAAGGATCTTTTTTATACAAGTTTACTTTGTTAATAACTTATATCTTAACATTTCAGACAGTATATTATGTGGAGCCATATGTTATGAACGCTATATTCGGCGCGGGCATGAGGCCTCCTCCTGGACTAAACCGGATTGTGTTTACCTTGTCGGCGGTTGATGAGAATAATGTTAAACGACCAAATGGAATTTGCTTCGAGATAACGGGTGAATTTGTTAGGCAAACCTAATACGAAAAACCCGCATCCTGAAACTACTTAAAATTACTTATTGATCAAAGTGTTCTTATACCAGAGCAATTCTTTTTGGTTTGGAGCTATTAGTTTTTTTTTTTTAGCTCAGCAGAGCATTTGTTTTGGTTTTTTTTTCTGTTATTTTTTTATGGGTAGTAGATGTAACTTTGGTTATGGTTTGTAATATAAAAATGCTTTATATGATTTAATTAAAACATACATTTTAAAAAGTAAATGTTGTTATACAAAGCCATTATTTTTTGTTTGCAGCTATTAATTTTATTTTAAGCACAGCTGATAATTATTGTAATATTGGTGATGGTTATTTGTAAAGTAAAAGATTATGTTATATTCGTTGAAAAGTATGTAACTGGTAGAAGAAGGCGTTTCCGACCATATAAAGTATATATATTCTACTTCTTTTAAGCTCAAAACATACTCTTTAAAAATTATTACCTGGGAATTATTCGTTAACACCTTTTTTCTGTAAGAAAAAAACTTTTCCCAGTCTAAGCTCAAAGTCTTGTCTTTTGAAATGAACCCTCTGTCGCTGTCTACACTTTCTGTTGGTGTGACACATTTTTGTGACCCCGTGTCCCTTTGTTGGGGTCATCATCACCAGCCCCGCCCCCCGCCTTACGCCTTGTTTGGGGTCACGTGTGCGCAGTTTATTTGTTTTATGCGGCCTCAGTGAGACTCTGCCTTCGGAGCCGGACTCCTTTGGCCGGGTGTAGTGTTTGTTTTACTTAGAGTTTTAGATTTACTTAAGTCGTTGATGACCATGACCAAATAAAGTTTCATTTTGTGCAAAGATTTACAACACTCGAGCGTGTGCGACAAGTTTTGAGTGCCCTCCGCCATTGGCCCTGCAGCGGATCATAGAAAAGGCTACGGAAAATGCCTGGCTACGGACCACACAAAAGTTCCAAACAAAAAAAGTGTTCGGAATGCGGCCCATGCTGCGTATGCGCAATTTTTGCCTCTCGAGTGTTTGCTTGGGACATCATTGAGGGCTGAAAACTGTGCCCAATTCTACTTCACAAACTAAAATTTGCACTAAAGATTGCCAATGGCCCTAGGATATGTTTGAGCACACTTGGCAAGGATTGGTGAAATCTAAAGGTACGTTCTAGTAAAACCAAGTTCAACGAGTCCGAAAGAGCTTGGCCAAAACACTATTAGCAAAATTAGAAACTTGGGCTCATACAGGAGAAATTTATTTAAAGTCTCACAGAGAAAAATTAAGTTAGGTTATTTTAGTGTCGTTTATAAAAAATTGACAAAGTATATTAGTTCTTATGTTATAAGCCCGAATTAATATGTTTTTAAGAATTACTTATTTCAGTTAACTATCTATAAGTTTTATTATCATCTTAAGATGTCAAAAATTTTAAAATTCATTACTATATTAAATTGTAAGATATAAAAGACTTTATTAAGGCCTCAACACAAGTTACGAAGTTTTCGAATCAAAATTTGTATTACCAACTGAATCAATATCAATACAGAAAGTGCAATACACTCAAAGGAAGACATAAATCTAAATTTGTATGATTGCAAGTCATTCCAAGTTAACTTTGAAAACTTTTCCCTTATATGACTTGGCCCTTCTATGGCATCGTCTGCAGATGATATGTTCTGACTAATCTTCGCAGCTCATTCGGAGTGAACTTTCTCGTACTTCGCTTGTTTGTGGTAACTCTTCGTTGCTTCACGTATTTGCAAAATGTTTGGCCAAGTTCACGGCGTCTCAGCCGTTTTTGGTGTTCCGATAACTTTTCGCTTTTGGACTAAAAGAAATGCAAGTAAAGAGAAAGTTCTGCAGTTTAAATAAACTTGTTCCGCACCGCCAGGACAATGTGTTTTGGCCCTGAGCGATTGAGCTCTGCACGGAGAAAATTGTCATCATAATATGGTAAACTTGGCATTAGGTTAAGAAAGCTTCTATACAATAATGGATTCAACAAAATGTAATCACCAAATGCTTGTATAGATATTTTAATCGTGGGTGATTAGGCCATAAAACAGACAACTAAAATTTCAAATTGAAAATAATTATAATTTTTACAAATATATTTACGTTTGGAGATTAACTTAAATTTAGACAATAATACAAGCGAATAACTCTTAATTGAGTCTGTTAAAAGTCCTACGTTTATTAAGTATTGTCATATTACAAATAAGTATTCCCAATTAAAAGTATTTTAAATATTAATGAATTATTAAGAGCAATATTTAAAATATTTAGTTTCAAAGAGGAGACTAATATAACTGTTTACATTTTAATCCGATCATTATTAGATGATGAAAGGGATTAAGCGTCTTTATAATTTTTTGCCTGTGTGAGGGCCAGGCAATCGTGTTGGTCATTGATATGGGCCCGAGGCACAACCAGTCGGTGGACCACGTGCCAGGCCAGGAGCTCAGCTCAGCTTGGCCAGCTAACTTTTATTTTGGTCCTTGCCATACACAAACTGTATTGGCATTTGACTCAAAACTTTTGACTCAAACGGGGAAGGGGAAATAATGGCCAATACTATATATACAAAGATATATGCAGCTATTCTGGCAGCACGATATGGGTTGGATTTGTTGTAACGCCCTCGAATGGAAAACTTTCTGGCCCAGTTCGGACTGCTGCTGTTTAATTTTGAACAGCTTTCTACGACATCGTGCGGGGGACTGGGACTGCATGGAAAGCATAGAAAACAGAAAAAGAGCATGGAAAATGGCACATGTCGAAGGGAATTGAACACATTCACATCCCATCGGAAAGGGTGGGGAAAAATGGAAAATGAAGAAAACGAATCGAACATAAAACCATTAAAATCACTTTACTCGTTAGTTAGGCGCTTGAGCCGGTGTGCGTGTGACTGTTTCCCTGGAGATGGGATCTGCTAAGCTGGGATCTGTTGGATATAGGTGCACAATAAATGTTAGGAAACTGGTTCACAACTTTTGCCAAAACGACGAAGACATTGAGAACAAAAAATAACATTTCCTGTCTGCAAGTTTTAATGAAATTTTTTGGTCCTTCAATTGTGTCCGGCATTTTTGTATTCCTTTTGTTTCTTGTTACTGAAAAAGAAGCTCTCCAATTGGTGTAATTAAGGTGAAGTCATTGGCAATACACACAATTGACAAACAAAATACATTTTCTAGCTTTAAGCCTTTTTCATTAAGGAGTACAATGTTTTTACATATTTGCCTGCTTAAAAATGCCAATTAAATATTTTATTAGCTTCTGAATATTAAATTCTGGAAAATTTCTTAACGTATTTATATTATTATTTTGTTGGGTGGATTTATATCAGGAAATCTTTGTAAAATTGGAGAGATGTTTCAATAAATTTGATTTAGCCTTTTTGTTCATCTATTTTAAAATACCAAACACTATAATTTATTTCACCGCAACGATTGTTTGTCAACTATTTTTATTGGCTTAACAAAATTCAAAATTAAATTCCATAACTTTCTGTGTTTCTCTACCACAAATCTGTGAAATGAATATTTATTTGCCAAAGTCCAACAAGAAATCCCAGATTTAAATTGATGGCTTGGCAAGGTGAATTGGAAAAATCTATTTCCCAGCTTTTGTGTGCTTTAGCTAGGAGTTTCACTTTAAGAAAATCATTTTTGCGGGCCCCACTTAATGGTGATGATGATGATAGCAGGACAGGCCTTTGATTAATGAAGCACACAGTTAAAATAATTTGAAAGTCAGCTTTTCCAAACCAATTGCAAATATACGCATCGACTTTGTGCAATTCAATTCAAATCGTGGAGTCTGCCAAAATCCTAAAGAACTTACCCGGATTGGGATGCCTGGGCAACTGATCCGGGGACGGCGGATGGGATTGCATAATTAAGGAAAGAGCATTAAAGGCATTCATAAAGATTTTCATGGCTGCTTCGTTTTTGTTCAAAAACTCACTTTGATGGCCTTAAAGCCCAGACTCAGATTCGCCTCGACTTCAGCAACGAGACCATTACCAAAAATTCCAAGCAGCGGCAGCAGTATCAGCATTTTCTGTAAGCAGAGAGATTGGATTATTTGGTGGGGAAAAGTAAACGAAAAGTAAGGTAAAAAGGTCGAAGCAGTCGCAGTCGACTTTATTAAGGTCAATTCAATGTCTGGCTCGGTTTTTGGTTACGGCTAATGGTTACGACTACTGCCATGGTAACGGCTGTTCACGCCCTCTCTACAAGTTTGTGTTTTGCATTTCAGTTTGGTTTTTCTTCGCCTCTTTTTACATTTACAAAAGATTTCACACCTGAACCAACCTTTAACATTTTCACGAAATATTCTTATACACAGCAGACAAAGTTTTTTTATGCCATCTTTTCCCACCTCTCTGCTAGGGGTGATTAATCTGGTTTCTAGGATAAAAAGCTCAATGAACAGGTTCTTAAAAAGTTCTGTGATAGTAATTTCACTGGATTCTATACAGCGTTTTTTAGGACAAGGTTATTTTTTATATCTTGTTAACTTGCATTCGCTTTTAAAGGTCAAATCACAATAAAATAACAACGAATTTTAGCTCAGGAAAAAAATGACTATGCTAGCGGCAAAAATGTGCAACAAAATTGAATAATTTAAAAAGAAATTTAAGGCATTTGTTTTTATAGCTTTAAGTTATAACTTAGAATATATTATACAACAGAAAAATTTATTACCTTTTAATGAAATAATAACATCATCATTTCTAATTAAAAGTATCAAGTTTCATAGAGAACTAATTGTACTTAATTGTAAAGGTCAATAGTTTCCCCATGAGAGGTTTTCCCTTTAAAGCATGTAATTGCAGAAAATTGTTTGATCAATATTCAGCTCAATAATCTTGCTAATTGATTTTGATTCAGAAGCATATTGAATAACGGAAGTTACACTTTTTCATAGGAAACTGCAATTGATGCGGATGAGCACATTTAATAATTTCCTCTTGTTCCCTAGGGTTTAAGCCGCCCCAAAGTCGCCCGCAATTTCACACTTTCGCGATAAATGAAAACAGAAAATGTGAAAGCCTATATATTTATGGTGGATCTTTTACGTCTGGGAAAGGTAATTATTTCGCATGATTGGTGTGAGTAAGTGTCTGTGTGCGCCTTTGTTTGCAATCAATTTACGCGCTAAGAACACGCATACGCCCTGTTGCCAGCGTCACAACGGCGTGTATTTCATTTTGCGCACAAAAGGCGCAAAAGCTCATTAAAAAATATTTTCCACTCACGCGTGTGCATTTTTAAAATGGTATTTAATTAAACTTTAATAACAAAAACAATAAGCGGCCGGCTACAAAGTGGAAAAGCAAAAAGGCGGTACCATGCGAATGGCGAATGGCGGGTGCTTTAATGCGAAAGATTTCAATTAACGACACGGACCACGTGAGCTGCTATGTGGATAAACAGAACGAGGACATCGGCTGGATGACGGATGAGTGGCCATCACTCATACTTACACTCAGGATGCAGGACGACTGCATCAATGGATTGCATTGAATGCTGCTTCATTAAGGTGCCGCTCCAAGAAGCTATGCACAGTGCTTCTCGTAATTATCGCAATTACAATGAACGATGACGGGGGAAATGTAAATGTAAATGGGAATGGAATGGAAATGGACAGAACAGTCAACAATAATAAAGACCAACGAGGCGCATGAGAACAGTTAACAAAGGAGGGCCGGAATCACAGGTCCTAGAAGACCCCTTTAATGTATAGCTCTGAGACTGACTGCAACTCTCTGATCTGTTAATTGCGAGGCGAATGTGGGCCAACACATATTGCCACATGTTGCTCGCCTTGAATGGCAAAGTGCAAGGAAAAAGGAGCAAAACAAGAGGTGTGCTGAAGACCCAGTGCAAAACCCATCCATTTACCCTGGCATCCATCCATCCTGTCGTCTGTTTTGTGTTTATAATTATGATGAAAGAGACGAGGAAGCTGGCAGCCCAACCCCCATCACCTAACCCTAGACCAACCCATTCAGCTTGAGGCGATTTGGGGCAAAATGTGTGTGTCACTTCGGAAATGAGCAGGTCCGTTTAAAAATGCTTGCCACAGAGTCCTGATCATTTCAAAACAGAACCGGATGGGACAACTCTGGGGAGCTATGTCATTAAATTTAATGAATAGATAACAACAAAGCCGGAACTAGCCCTGGAGGACCCAAAAAATTATGCAGCAAAAAGTTTGACCCACTAAAAATACAAGTTGCAAAAATCGTACCCCAAGTTGAGGCTTCGCTGACAGGATTTTATGACCTCTTTAAATGGCCATTTACCCGAGAATTGATTAATGATATGCCCGACCATGACTACCCCTCATAATTCGATGGTTTAAGGCGGTTTTAAGCCATGTTTGTCCGCCAATGAAATTAATGATATTGTTAAGCCATTTTAAACGAGCCAACAAATTAATCTTGTTTAATTTTTGAAGTTGAGCATAATGAGCCCGGCATTAGCAGCTGATGCCCCATTTTTATGTCTCACTCCCGGGAAAATCGGTATAAATCCCGATTACTGGAGGGCAGAGCCGATTGTTTGACTGCTCATCATTCATAAGCCGTGGTATCTGCGTGTGTAAGCGGGTGTGTTGCAACGTTAGCATCTTATTATTCAGAACACACACGATGCCAACGACCACTGTCAGCGATGACAACACTGGCATTCGCGTCATAATGATGATGAACACAATCATCGCAATCATGTTGATGCTGCTTTTCGGGATGATAACAACGCGTGACAACAATGCTGACACATCGAAAGATTGTCATTCCATCAATTATTCAAGAACACGCAAATCATCAACAAAACGCTCAGCATTCAAGGAGTCATACGACCAAAAACGCCCACTCCCAATCACTAACCTCCATGTCACTGCAAATGTATCAAAACCAGACAACGTCAACATGCAACATGGGTACACAAATAAAAATATGTTACGTACCACTTAAACAGGCATTGTTTTATTTGTTTACAACACAATATAGTCATGACAAAGAAATGCCAGTTTGGAATAAAGGAATATATTAAATGAACAATAGGTTCATGTTAACAAGACATTGCTTATGATAGGAAACACATTTTAATTGTTTTTTTTTTTTAAATATTATATATTTTTAGATCAACATATTGTCTTTTAAATGTCCGGGATGAAAACAATGTTTTATGTCGCTATCATCCATTGTTTGCTATATAAATGGAAACCAAATTGAATTTGTTGGATTAAAGATAGTATTAAAAAATTTGTAAGGATAATTATTTTAATATATATTTATATATCCTTAGATTTCACTTGTGTATATCTCTTTTTGCCCTGTGTAAGTATTAAGTGATACAATTTTTGTTTGGTATGAAGATTTTTGCCGCAGGCTCTACTCAATGAAAAGCAAAAGTCGGGGGACGGGCTCAGCACAAAAAAAATAGAAGGAATCATTGGCATGAATATCTGAGTGTTTTTATTTATGACTGCGCGTCAATATACTGTCAGACTAGTGTTTTGGGGCGGATGTGCGAGGCGAGGACTGCTCAGACTGCTCTTTGACCCGACTAGAACAGAAATCAATCAACTCCGGCCCGAAAAGGGAAAACTAACAACTGGTAGAGTGCTGAGTAACAAGCAGGCGGTTGGGGGGAAGGTATCTGAGGGATGTGAAGTGCCCATGGAGCTATAAATCCCAGCCTGACACGGTTAAGTGTTGGCGCTTAACAAAGGCTTATGGCAGGAACAAGATCTGTGGGTGGAGAAATGTTCTGAGATACAAATCATAATCAATCTGAGTCCAGAGAAGAAAAGGAAATTTTCCTACAATTTAATTCCTCATCCGTTTGAGCTAGTTGGTACAAAAACCCTTTTATCTCCTTGCGAATCACTTAACGTAGCGTAAATTTCATTTGCAGCTAATTGAAATTCATTCGGGTGAAATCAAATTAAGTCAAAAGTATATCCTGTCGCCAGAGGTACGTGTCCCTTCAAGAAACAAAGTCTGTCGCAAAGTGATTCATTCACAGCGATAAATTAAGACGACTAAGGATGCTGAGTACTTCCTTCCAACCTCCCAGGGGACATATTTTTGCTCACATTCACGTCCTGATATAAATATCCTGCCCGTAAACGTGTCGTGTCCAATGAATATCAACAGTTTGCTTTGGTTTCCCTATTTTTTTTTGACATCCTTTACCTAAACCCTTATCAGCATAAAAAGAGGAAAAACTCAATTACAAAATATCAGAAAATCGCAAACAAATAAATTAAGGATACAAATCTGGCTAGGAACTGTGGCAAACTGGGCTCAAATCGAAATGAAATAGTGACACAGGCGCTGCCATAAAACCAAAGGCAAATACAAAGCCGCACAAAAGGAAAAAGGTTAAGCCAAATATTTATCCAGCCGCCCAAGGAATTGGAGAAGGAGTAGTCCTTTTCCTTAGTCTGTATGTAATTACTAGGCAAGGGCTGCAAGTACAGCTGTGCCTAAGTACATAGATCCCAACGCACACACTAAAGGACAGTAGGAGTACACACAACACAAATTCTAAAATACAAATGTTGGGCTTAGGTATTATGGTCGATATACGTCGTTGAATAATATTTAAAATATTGGTGTGTATTGTATGGATATGGATATTAAATAAATACTTTAGTAAATACAAAAATAAAAAAAGCGATATATTCCTTTTTTAATTGCAAAATTTAGTTGTTTTTATTAAAGAGCAAGAAATCTCTTTAGTATATAAGAAAAAAAAATGTTTTCTTCAATTTAAGTTCATGGCTACACCTAAAAAGCCAAATATAAAAAAGTTTTTTTAAATCATTTAGTTTTGAGTATGTTTTGTAAATCTCTTTGTATGCCAATTTCGTCAGTGTACGAATTGGCATGTGTGTGTTGGGTCGTACGTGGCTTTATGCTTAAATAAACATTCGTCCTGGCCCCTCGTCCTGCGCCTTGGGCCCATCGTCTTTGCTCCGTTTACATAGCACCCAACGGCCGGCAGTCAGTTTGCCCGGTCAAAGCCAAATCGTTGATTGCATAAGTTGATGGCCGACACATGTCCGAGATATATAGTGTCGATATAGTCTGTGTTTGTCTGCGGGCGCAAAGGCCCCGAGTTACTCACGTGTGGTTGCTATTCACGTCTAATGATGTCTGTGCAGGTTGCATTGGCTGCTCCTCCCGCTCCAAGGATCTGCCTCCTCCCCGAGTGACCTGCAATGGAAAATGAAATTTATATTGCGAGTCGGTACACACTGATTGCTTTATTGAGATGCTGGATTCATCAAGGATTTGAGAGAGGCACTCTAGGGTGTGTCGGTAAATGGACCGGGAGCACTAGACTGTTTCAGTTGCTGTGAAGATTTTAATTGACTTTTTGCGGCTCAATCGATTGTCTAATTTAATTGACAATCCAGTTAAGATTTTAAAACATTGTCAAGCAGAAATGTTAAATTAAACGCTTTGGTTGAAAATAAAAGGACAAAAGGACCCAAGAATTGATATTGATTTAAACACAAATAAGTAGCTTTTAAAAAATATTCTCCCCTAAATATATGTCCTATATTTATGAAGTCATAAAATGTGCAGTGTGCTCTTTTTATTTGTTTCAACGTTTCAACTTTATTGACACACACAATGACACTTTTAAAATTTATGAAATAAAACTATCAAAGGCAAATAAAATGCAATCTCTATTAAAATTTACTGTGAGGTTTTTAATTGTCAGTTGTGTCGTCTTGGTCAATTTCAGTATGTGGCTTTGCTAAGTTTTTTAATTAAATTCAACAAGGTAAAATAAAATAAAAGCAATTCAGAGATATAAATAAATTTTTTCTCAAGCATAAGTGTTTTCCTCAAAATGAATAATTTTTTTAGACATGTGAAGACTAGTAAATAATTAAATTATAGGAACTATTGAATAAGAAATTCTGCAATCAGTTAAATCGACTTTTTTCGACTTTTTTTTTCTGATTTGACATTAAAACAACAATTTATAAAACTAAGTAAGGGAACGTCGATATATTAAATTCGTAGGCAGAATGCGAATGAGTTTATATTAGCCACACAAGGAAATGAGATATCGAGCTATCATTAACATTTGCCATAAACAAATGTCAGGCCATAAAGCCGATTCTACCGAATCGAAGTCGTTGAAACATTTTTATTAAATTGTTTGTGTCTTCCTGTCACCTTTTTTCATATTTGCTCATTGTCGTTACCTTGTTGCTCTGTGTGTGTGTGTGGGTGTGTGTGTGTGTGTGTGTGTGTTTGTGGCAAGGTGTTTGTTATCGTTTGTTATATTGCTTGTTATGTAATGTAATTTATACACAGCCATACAGACGGAGATTCGAATACAATGTCATAAACGGCAAGGACACAAAGGCAATTCCGCATGGCATTACGGGCAGACAAAACAAATGGCAAAGGAAGGAGCCAAGGAGCGAGCTGCGACTAAAAGCCAAAAAGTACGCGTTCGGCATAAATGATAAGCTGGTAACGCAGCAGGACATTCCCTCTCGGAGGGGCAGGGTCCTGGCCATGGCCCAGACCAGTTCCTCGTCCTTGTCTCTGTGTCTGTGCCTGCTTGCTTGACTTTTGAATACTTAACAGGATAATGAAATGTCAAAAGTACGTAGGCGGCCCAGAAATGCGTACCCTGCTGCTCCTGCCCTTCCTGTCCTGTCCCATATTGATATTCCTCTGGCTGTTGTGGAGTTTTATTGTGTTGTCCATGCCTAAGTGAACGTCACGGCGTGCCGCGCGCATTAAATCATAAAGAGGAAAAAGAAGGAGCAGCGCGGGAGGATAACCAAGAAGGCAGAATTTTTCGGTTTTTTTGTTTAAAGTTTTTTGGTACTCTTCTTTATTCGATTTTTTTTTTATTAATATTTGAGTGGAAAAAATAAGTACAATTTTTTTAAACTCATCATCAACATAAACAAAGTAAAAATTAAAAAAAAAACAGTATTAACATTGATGGCAATTCAAAAAAATTAAAAAAGTAAACCTATAGTTTGTATGATTAATAAAAAAAAATTACTCAAAAATGTATTCTACTGTGGTTAAATAAAATATAAAATATTTCTCATATTATGAAATTTATTTCTCTACCGAAATACCGCATTTACAAAAAAGAGTACGGAAAGCGAATAAAAATGTGATATCCCAGAAAAAAGGACCACATCTCTCACACGGGATGTTTATTTATATATATACTTCTTTTTTTTGGTTGGCCATTTTATGTTTACATAAATTTAAATTGACACAAATGCGTTTTGGCTGCCCCGACAAATAAAAAAAAAGACAAACCAAGAACCAAATGATAAACTCCATAAATTATGACAGTTTTATTCTCCTCTTGGTGCTCGTCTTATGTTACGCTTTATTTATTTGTAGTGATTGCAAGTGAATTGAAAATGTATTTATGCAATTCCATGCGATTACAGCATACAAACCAAAAGCCAAAACAGGTTGGTTTTCCACCCTGCGAACGAACTTTATTCATGAAATAAAGCAGCTTTAATCAAGGCTACTTTAGTGGCTACTTTTGCTAGCGGGGAAGCCATTTGTGCCACACCTCTGCGGTCATGTTTGGGAAAATATCCTGCCAGTTATTGTGGATATATCCACGGCGGCTAACACGCTTAACTCAAATTGCTGTTGCTTTTTTTGTGTGGTATTTGTTGCGAAAAACAAGAGAAAGTTGTAATCAATAAAGTAAATGACCCAGGCACTTCAGGACGACCAGAGAACATATCCGGCCAAATGAAGGGCAGTGGTGGTAAATGGGCCAAGTGTTGCTATGATTGATTTCTTTGAGTGGAAAAAGCGATTCTGAGTGTACAGACAAGCTATGGTACTTATGGTTACATGAAAAATTTGGACAGATATTTAGTAAATCAACTTGGATTGTGTTTCGATATAACATCAGTAAAACATACAAAAGACACCATATGGGAAAAAAAAAAAATTTTTTTATGGCGTCAGAACATTTGAATAAAAGCACTTAAACTTATTTTCCTAAAAAGGATTAAGATTTTTCAGGATTAAAATAATATTATAATAATCAGAAGCCTTTAAATTTTATTAAACAACAAAATTAGTATTCATTTATTTCTTTAAAGGAAGTCTAAGCAAAAAAATGTCTAACCATTGAAGAGAGCTCATCATTGTTAACATTTTTATTAATTAACAAAATGGGTCGATTGTTCGAATGCCCTCACAAAGCCAACACACACACACACGCGCATAATTGATTAATTTTGCCATCCTGTATGGAGGCAACATTTATATTGCCCTTCGTTTGAGTCCTTCATTTTGTTAATGAACTTGAAAAAGTCTCTTGAGGGTAAGAGCTTATTTTCGGTTCGAGTATAATTGAAACGAAATCAAATCAAGCAAAATTTAACGCAGCCGCAATGCAAACACCCCAACAATGAGTTGTAAAGTATTCAACGGGAAATTTATGTGCAACTTGTATTTTATACGTACCGCATATTGACTCTTCAGGCCGGCATGCCAATTAAGGGCTGCTCGAGGGCAAAAAAAAAACTACGAACAATGTCGAGGAGGGCGAAGCAAACTTTGGCCTCAATCTTAACAAGAAAATCTGTAAATTACACGCCACAATTACGCCATGAAGAGTGGGGGTGGCAGGAAACTGCCAAATATTTATACACCTAAATAGATTTGATGGCATAATTGAAAATTGTTGTTATTGGTCGGGGCCATTCCACTCAATATTTGTGTGCTGGCAATTTGCATAAATGCCAAATGGCAAATGCCAAGTAAAAGTTTATTAAAAGCATAGCCAAAAGTTTTCCTGTTTTCCGCCATCAGCTGATATTAACGATGAAGGACCCGTCCCGGAAAATTGTGACACATAGCTTGGGGGTTCGTTCTGAAATAAACTGAACAACAGGATGGGTTGGCCTATCCCGGCATTGTTGTCGGAGAAGACCCAACTTTTCGCCAAGCTACAATTTATTTTCTTCTTCTGATAATTTAACTTTTTTTTGTGCAGCTGAAAATTGGATTTGTTGCGACCGACTTTCAGACTTTCAACGCTTGTAACGAATGTTGAACAGCAGAACAAGTTGTTTTTCTAATTGCAGACATAGCCTTTGGGGTAGGGAAACATTTTCGTGGTTGGGCAAAGGGCTCGTGCCGGGGGCAATAATTTGGAACAACTTTATCAGGTTATTTAATATTCATTTGTTGAAAATTTTGAGTGGCTCTGAGCTTGTGCGCAGATATCAAAGAAATTAACAAAGAAAACATGCCTCCCAAATAATCCTAAAAAAAAGGCCACAACAGTTGGAATTGTGGGAATTCAAATGGCATTTCAGCTAATAGCCCAGATAAGCGGAGAAAACTTTTCTAAGCGTATAAACTTTTGGACAGATATAAGCCGGGAATCGCCATCTGATTTGAGAATGATTCAAAGTGAATTTTTTCCAAAAAAGACTCATTCAATTTCAGATTACCAAAATCAATTCAATAAATTAATTGATTTTAATCCTTTTAATGAGTGAATAATAAGCCTTTAATTCTTATTTGTTAAGATAATTTTTTAGTTATATATTTAAATTTAATAAGACCAAAACTTACTATATAAGTTGCATGAGATTTTCTTTAGAAACTTTGTAAGGATGCCATAACTAATAAAAATGTTGCTTGTACTTATTTTAAAATTATTATTATCCAATCAGTTATCTACGAAATGGACTTCAATATTTAAAAAAAAATTAAAAATACATAACTGCTGGACTTAACACATTTTGTAAAGCTTAACCCCCTCTCTTTGACCCGAGGGCTCTGAATTAGGCAAAATGATAAGAGCAACTTGTCTTGTTCTTAACCGTCCTACAAATCGCTCTCCAATTAAATCCTTTCTTGTTTTCTCCGCAATCTAACTTTGCATTTGAAACTTTTTATTCACCCTGGAAGACAAACAAGCCACCCAGCGCGTGAAATCTCTTCTAGTCCTTGACTATGAACCTTTAATAGAAGTTCCAAGTCCAAGCCATTTAATGTGCTTACATTCATTTCGTTTTAAATCTGTGATAAAGTGGGGGTCGCTTTAAGCTCGGTTCTTGGTCCTTCGTCCTTCGTCCTGAGTGCCATGCCCCTTCCATTCTGCGTAGCAAAAGTTTTCACCGTGTCGCGACAAACGCAATTCTTTACACGACGACGAGTTTTGTGCGCTTTTT